ACGGGTGTGCAGTAGGTCTAACTGACAAGGAAGGGACTCCCATCAAGAAGCCGTGGCGTCTCATGACCACATCCAAGGAACTTCATGATGGGTTCCAGAATAGGACATGCCCCCACCAACACTCCTTCAAGCATGCGCAGGCCGCAGGTAGCAACACTGCACGCACCGCCTTTTATCCACAAGAAATGTGCAAGATAATCGCTAGTGCGTTATACCCACATGTCGCAACACCATGCGCGCCTGCAATGCCAGTCCAGGCTGTCATCGTGCAACAGGAGCATCGGGAAAAGGAGCAGTCCTTGAAGCATACCTCCGCACTTTCGGGTGTTGGGGCTCTCGCGACAGTTGTTGAATCAGATCCAACCTCCCGCAGATTCTTTGAAGAACTCTTTGACTTGGATAATCTCGTTAGGGAAATTCAGGGAATTCCAAAGCAGGAGACTTCTCCCGACATAGCCGCCATGGTCACAAAACTTCTTTCACGTTCAGAAATGCTTGCCTCGTCCGAGGCATTGCAGGCCATAAAGGAAGAAGCAGACGGCTTAGGTAATGCGGGAGTCTGGGATCTCAGCACCGTGAGAGAACAAGGAGAGGTCGCTGCTGAAGCGCGACGGACGCACACTAAAGTCCACTTCGCGCAACTAATGACTATCGCCTCCATCAAATTCTTTGAGCTAGCAAAGCATCTACAGAAAGTGAAGGGGCGTATTGTATACCGAGGGGACTGTGCACGGGACGAATATGGGGCGGCGGCCGTTTATCAAGAACTCGGCGCCAACCCTACGTCCGTTCAGGGATTGAACAACTGCCTTGCCTACGGCTCACTGCCAGGTCACAAAACCACGGCGGCAGACGCCGTAAAGGCATATATCCAGGCCCTACTTCGATCTCAACATCAGACGTGGATATCATTGCCGCCGGAACTTCGTCCGAAGTGGTGGAAAGAAAAGTTTATAAAACCGGTAGTCCTTCTAGTAAAAGCACTCTACGGTCACCCCGACGCGGGGGGGCTATGGGAGCAGCACTTCAAGAAGATCTTGAAGGAGCAGACCGGAGAGGAGATCCAAGAATTTCCAGGAAACTTTTACTTCCCCTCAACCGGCTTAATGCTATCCACTTATGTGGATGATCTAACACTTTCAGGGCCGGCAGAGCAGCATGATCCCTTTTGGGAAAAGCTGATGTCATGTGTTGATATTGAACCCCCAGAACCGATATATCGTGTTTTGGGAAGGAATCATGTCATCATTAACGCCCCGAAGTGCGAGCCTAATCCAGCCGAGAGCGCAGCCTTTGGCGCGCTGTCCAACGCAATGGCTTTTGATATGGTTGACTACGCCAAGCAAACTGTTGATCTATATGTCTCCATTTCAGGTCAGCCGATTAGTAAGCTCCGCAAGGCATTGACCCCATTCTGTCCAGAAGGGTCATTGCCAACACAAGATGATGCCGAAGCAGGTGAACTGAGCTCAGCCGCTTGTAAAATCTTGATGAAGGCCTTGTGGTTGGGACGTCTTGCACGTCCAGACATAATCAAGCCCATCGGGGATCTTGCAACGTGCGTTCAAAAATGGTCGCGTAATAATGATAGGCAGTTGGCTAGGCTAATAGCTTACATTAACACGACCACAACGCACAGGTTGGTTGGCACAGTTCAAGACGATCCCAGAGAGCTGCATCTTGCGCTCTACGTCGACGCTGACTTTGCAGGAGAGGAGGGGGCCAAGTCCACGTCAGGGGGGTTTCTCGCCCTGAAAGGTCCGAATTCCCACTTCCCCTTAGCATGGATTAGCCAGCGCCAGACTTCTGTGTCGCGTTCCACTACAGAAGCAGAGGTTGTGTCGTTAGCATTTTCTTTGTATCAGGAGGGACTCCCGACGCTTAGTCTGTGGGATCGACTATTGGGTCGCCCAATGACCCTCAGGATCCATGAAGACAATCAAGCTACTATTCTGGTTGCAAGGAAAGGGCACTCTTCGAAGTTGCGATCAATTTCTAGGACACAGGGTTAACCTAGCATCCCTTGCAGAACAGTTACAGGAAGGCACTGGAGTAGAGCTTGAATATGTGAAGACCGATTTCCAAGCTGCCGATATCTTTACCAAGGCTTTGCCTCCACATAAGTGGGACCTGGGGATGCGCACAGACCTCCCAGAAGAGCTAGAAGATACTCGATTCAACATCAAAAAGTAGAAAGTCATTCCGAAAGCAGTGCTATGAGTACTAAAAGTGCCAAAATATCCTTCATCCTTTTAAAGCCTTGATGACCAGGGAGCAGCGTATCGCGCTCCAAAGCAAAAGCTTACCCTGCCTTAGTGCACACGGCGAGGGGGGAGTCAAGAAATAACGACCCCTTTGCCCCCAAAGGCATGGTAACTTGCCTAGTTGTGTGTTCACTGGCGTGAGGTTTGCATGAGGCCACTTTGGTTTAGGTTGAGGGTTGCATGACATGACAGACTTGTCAAACGGCAAACGCCGTTTGGCTCAAGCGCTCACTGAAAAAGGGCGCTGAGTGCGGAACTAGAGTTTAGAGACAACCCCCTGAACCGCTGAGGGATTAACCACGGTCAATCCACCTCTTTTTGTTCAGGGCGCAGCCTTCGGCGCGCGTTTGGGGTTTCTTGCTCTTTTGATTGCAATAGGTTGTTTAGTACTTCCCAGTGCTGCCTTCAAACTAGTTCAGTACTGGTTCTGTGTCAGTATTGCGTAGTGCTGCCTTTAGTGCTGCATTCGTACTGGTGTAGCATTGATTTGGTGTTGTTTTAGTATTGCTTAGTGCCACCTTCGTACTTGTGTATTACTTGGTTTGGTGTTGGTTTAGTATAGCTTCGTGCTGCCTTCGTACTGGAGTTCAATTCGTATGGTGTTGTGTTGGCTTTGTATCGGTCCAAATTGATTGTTTTCGTTTCTGTTCTGTCCTCTGTGTGGTATTTCCTTTCCGGTACTAGTATTGGGCATTGATTTAGTTTTGGTTTATTGGTGTTGGTTAGCCTTTTGCCACGGACCCTTAGACAAAGTGTCACGGGCTCGTTTGCACATTTATGGGGTAGGGGCTCGTTCTCAAAGCTCCAAGGGGGGCATTCTAAGAAGCAGCAAGTAGGGGCAAGGTGGGAGAAGCTTCGGGAGAAAGTAGGACCCTCGAAAATTGAGCATGAGGGGCTGAGCTGCACCACCCTATTGCAACCTGGCACTTCTGAACACGGACATCATGGAAAGTTTAGTCGTTAGCGCCTTGCTCGTAGTAGCAGGCAAAGGCAAGTTGAGAGAATTCTTGGCGGTGGCTGGCGGGGGCTGGCGGGGGCTGTCAATAGTCGTAAATCGGGAGGCAGGCCCTGTGGTTGAAGTTGTTTCCCGGGTTTGCTTGGTCGGATTTTCCCCATACGGAGGCTGACCTTGCACCAACTCCCGCCAGTGGCCGGACCAGGACAGCTGTGACAGGCCGAAGCCTGAGGCTCCCGCCAGTGGCCGGACCCGTTTTTGCATGCAGCAAAATGTGGCACAGTAAGCAGCAAGCAGAACAAGCGCAACCAGTCTGGCTTGCTGGCTGCTATTCTACTTTGCGAACTTTTGCAGGCACTGCGCGGCGCTCGCTTTGCTTGCTGCACTCACGCGGCACAGCACGCAAAGCGAGCGCTGCTATCAAGTCGATCACCGTCCGTCAAGCTTGCTGGCCGACACACTTACCTTGCAAACTTGGCTTAGCATGATGTTCGGGGCACCACGGCGCTCCTTGGACTATTTCATGCTTCGATTATTTCTGGGATGTGTTTGCAATAATCTTTGGGGGGTGGCGGTTTCGGGATCCCTGGTTGGGCGTCTTACTTTTTTCACACTCCGCTGGCCCCGGAATGATTGCTGATATGTTGCGAAGTTGAACGTGTTTCAGGGGTGGCTGTGCCCCGTGGTATTTTTGCGGGCGAGAAGGACACCGCGAATACTTGTGGACATGGGGTGTGGGTGGTACATGGTTGACTTGATATTCTTCTAACATGCCTTACAATTACATGTGGAGTGTGAGGAGGTTGACGTATCACAATGTGAGCATGTTTGGATCAAGCAGTGAGCAGGGATAGGGATGTGGGAGGCAAGACACGAGAGCTCGCTATACAGGAGAGGAAGATGTCGAGCTAGAAGATGGCAGCTGCATCCACGGATGGGACGAGGATACCGAGGCCATCAGTCAAAGCTAATGCGGAACTAGGAGAGCGTGTTGCGCGCCATGTTTCGCTGGCAATACTGCCTTGGAAAGAGCTTGAAGCACAGCTTCCTGGCAATTCAACACGCGTTTCAAGTTGCAAGAGCACTTCAAGGCGATGTCGACGTGAATGCAGTCCTTGCCTTGCCGTTCCTTGAGCACTGTGGCACGGCGTTAGTCATCACTCGGCGGGCTGGTTTGTTTCACGATTCTGGCGTCGCTGTTTGTGTCATCATAGCTCATTTACGTTGTTTTCATTGCCCTTTTGTGTCCGTGAGATGCTTCACCATGCTTTTCATCGGGCAATCTGCCAGGTCTATTCTGAGGCCGGCGCTTGCAGGCAGGTTTTCATTCGTGCTGTGGCGGTGGGGCCACGTGTCGGCGTCGTTCATGGCGATCCCACCTTGTGTAGGGATGCCACTCCCTTGCCCAGCCTAATGCGAGCGTGCCGTCATTCTGCGGGGTTTTCAGTTCCCCGCAGTTAATCGTAGACGCAGCGCGGATCTTGCGGCAGCACCAGGCCATTTTTGCAGGTGCTGTGTGCTCTGACTGCGCCGCTTCAACTATGCAGCATTTGGCACGCTGCCTAACGCCGCCTGTCAGGCTCTTCACTTGGCTCGCAGGCAAGACAGTGGAGTGTCCATTGCTTGTAAGGGCCTTCTTGTGCTTCTACTGCTCAGGTCCATCCCACACACTACCAGTGCCTGCCGCCCCATACACCGAGTGGTTTGCCATTGTTAGTTTTAGTTTTCGGGAAAACTCGCCTGGTTTTGCTGTCAGCCATGAGCCATGGCCAAGCCGCCAGGTGACCAGCAAGGAAGACTTCTGGCGAGTCCAGGCGCGGGCCCTGCGCGAAGGGAAGTTTTCAATCAGGAATGCGGTGAAGTGGACATAGGGCTATAAAACAAGCCCGCGCACCAGTGAACCTGGACAAAACTGACGCTTCCGAACGGATACCCGGATCCCAGACCAGAACGGCTGTCAAATGTTCGGCCCTGAAGGTATGAGCGCCGACCATTGTTTGCATGACAACGTGCAAAAAGTACCGATGACCCTGAGAAAGTCGGAGCGAAGGGCAACCAGCTTAGAGCAGGAATTGCCTGCGAGCAGGATTGAAATTCAACGGGGGGGGGCACCTAATGTTCACCGGCGTTAAATGGTGACGAACATGTTGAACAAGAACATGCAGCATGTGCAACAATCCTGACATCATCCAGCTGGAGCCAGGAAGCTGCACAAAGCTTTTTAAACTTTGTGGGGACATGCGGGGGGATGTTGTGCAATGATTTCCTGTGGCTGGTAGATGCAATGCCCATGAGTTGCCCTCGGTGTTGGTTTTGTATGTGAGTCGTTCATGAAGTCATCACCTTGCCCTGCGCAGATTGAAGCTATTTACCGCCGCCGGAATCCGCACAAGCTCCATGGCAGCATCTGAATTTGGAGCCAGTTAGTGTGCCCAACGCAGAGACAAGTTTGATCAGAGTTTTTAAGAAGCCCTTTTGAGGGTTCATCATGGATGCCCGGGCGCCGCGTCACAGGCAGGAATAGCCTCTTTGAATTGCCTTGCGGGTGAGCTGGGAGTTCGGGCCATAAACCCGAGAATCGTGTGGTGTGGAAGCTCTGTGGCCTGTGTTTAATTAAGCTGAAGTCCAACACAGGGTGGTAAAAATGAGGGGGTTCTTCCCACTTTAGCGATACCGACACCCCCCTTGGTGATGTTTTGGCGCAGAATAATAAAGTGCGCGCCTTTGCTATTGTCCCGAGAGCGAGGGGATCCTGAAGGAGCTGTCGGCTGGGCTAAGGTTGGCAGATGTGTCTGACATGCTCGAGAACCTGGGCTGCAGTAGCACACTACTTCTGGCAGTAGTGGCGAATGATGTTTTCCCATTTTTCCAGACCTGTCATCTTGTGTGTGCGTTTATGTTTCTGGTTTCTGGAGAACGTTGAATGGCCACCGTCATTGAGCACATCCTTTGACGGTACATATCATATCCCATTTGCATTTGGCAGGGGAGGTGTAATTATCTAGTTTGTAGGGCTTCCTTGTTGGGCGGGGAAGTGCCATGGCGTTAACACACATAGGCAGTTGGTCTCCCAACAAGGACAGTTCAACTTACTGGCGTTCCTCTCTGCAAGTTAAGGTCCCACTGCAGGCCGGCGGTTGCAAAGTTGAGAATTCGTGAAAGTTCGTCCATCTACCCACCTTTTTGTGCGCCTTGAATCGTTGTTTTCCGGTTGCGTTGCAGGGTCTCGTTCGGAATCCCGCGCAAGGAAGCACAAAGGGAAGGAGATGGTTTTGTACAGAAAGGCGGGCAGAGTCGACATGTTCCATGCTCACGGAACTTGACTTCCTTACCAATTGGCTTACTTGCAACTAAATGACTCAATGCGGTCTGTGAGGCATCATGCCCGCAAGGGTCCAACATACGGGTCCATACAATGAGCTCTTGACCAGTTGTGCGCCGCGGGTTTGGCAGATATCAAGATTTGCTCTTCGTGCGTTCCGACACATCCGTGAGATTGACCCCTTCATGAACTTCTCCCGTCCAATATTGGACAAGTTCCTGAGTTCGGGAGATACGTTCGTTCAGTCGGACGTGATGAGGTGAGAAATTGCGGTCAACCATTGAAGGACTCCAATAGCCATAAGGAGCAATCACCTGAACCCGCCAACCAAGCTGAACGCTACAACGAAGTCCAATCGCATGGGTAGAAGCTGCGAGGTGTGTCAGCGATATGACCTGAACCCCAAGAAGCTGCGGGCCCAATGGTGGGGGGGGGTGGCATGGATGGACTCTACAGCAGAAATCGTGGCGCCACCTGTCGTTTGTCTTCCCCCTTGTTTTGCACCATGGCAACTTAAAGATAAGCAGAAAAACGCCTACCGCTGGAATGAGCAACATTCTGCTTGACTTCTAGTGGATGTTCTGAGCTGCAAGGCACCCTTGGGGCATGTGGGGGCTGATAGCCATATCGAGCCGACATTTTGCTGCGTGTCTGGGCACCTGTCTTAGGTACTGGGTCGTCCGAAATGGAAACGCACCAGCAAACGCATGATGACTCTTGAAGCCCGGCTTTCTAGGTCAGAAACATGTCGCAAGCAACATCCAGCCTTCGAGCGGTTTGTTTTTGGTGCAGACGGGTTTTGCTTTGGCCAAACTCACACCGACGGCACCATAGTGTTTGTTTATCCCCCTTTCGTACTGAACGCCTGGATCCAGTACCCGCCCCATGTTTTGTTTTTTTGCTTTTCTTCGGTGGGGAGTTTCAGTTGTGTGTTCTTGTTCCATCTAGCTTAGTGGTTTTCATGAGTGGTCTTGAGTGGATCCTTAAGTGATCCTTAGGCTCCTATATTTTAGAAACCATGGGAGTTTCCATGAAACCTTCACAAGGTCAGATGTTTGCTCAAAGGGGAAGATCCAGCTGCTTTACAATCGCCCCCATGAGCTATTTTTTTTCACAGCACTCCAGGATTATCCGCTTCTCACCTTCGCCCCCCAGCCCCCAACTGAATGTATGGGGATGGGGGTCCACATCCTTTGACGGAGCCCTTGCGAAAGAATTCTTTTGGTTGCCCGCGATGGGTAAAGCCAAATGGGTATGGGTCAAAATTCAAGCACCAGGGGAAGCCAGGTTTTGGTCCTTGGTTCCATTTACCACCCAGTTTTGACCCACAGCCAAATATCCACTCCGGGCCCCTCATTTTCAGGCGGGGGTTGGATGCCGTGGTTGATTCCTGAAGGGGGCAGCGCCTTGCTGTGTGTGTGTGTGTGTGTGCGCGTTGGGATTTGCGCTCCGACTTGCTTGGAAATCTGACAGGTTTTGTTTTGCAGATTCTGCAGAAGTTGGAGGAATTCGAGTTACCCTCCCTCCAACAATCATGGAAGCTGACAGGCGAATCTTGGAAGCCTACTTTCTTTCTCGCTGACGAACATGGAAGTGCACCCTGTAGAAAGGCGACGAACATGAAGTGCACCCTGTAGAAAGGGGCGGAATGTGCACAAGCCAATGTTGCTAGGTCCCCCAGCCAGGTGCCCTTCTCGCCCCTCTTTCGGGGGAAGGGTTCCCCTCAAATAGACAAAACATGAAACAGGTTGGAACCAACTTATTCTAAACTCTCAAATCTGGAGGACCTACACAAGGCAGCCAAATGGATTTGTGTGTTTTCTCCGGTTTCCAGCCACCAGGCAGCAGTGATCCAGAAACCGCCAACTCGGCCAACTCGGCGCGCGCCTCGAACGCCCTTCGAACGCCCAGGCTCTATGCCGATCCTCAGGCCTGGGACTCCGAGGACAAGGCGCGGACCCGGACCCGGAGCGAAGAATCCCATGGAACTTATCTTACCTCTTAAAAACACGAAACTGTTCGTAACTTTTTGGGGGTAACATGGGCTATATGTCTGGAAAAGATGAGAACTTCCCCAGGTTGCTTGGAGTTTTAAGGGGCAAGACTTGTTTGCACCCTTCGCACCCTCCATGGTGCATTTGTACCTGCAGTGCTCTTGTGTGAGCCATATTGGGTGCAAATAGACCCTTGGAGGTTGCTGGCAGCTGATTTCAGGCTTTTGATTGGCTGGACTTTTTGGACAGCTGCACCTTTGGTTAAGAGCCGTGTTCCGACTCGGTTCATTCCTTGTTGGGTTGAGCCCTTCGGCAGGCCGTTATGTCCCACGGCATTTGTGTGTGTGTGTGTCGCCTAGCGACACAACTGGGGGAGACTTGACATCTGCAGGACGTCAAGGACGAAGACAGCGATGGCGGCGACAAGGCGTCGACCGCGCCAACAGGAGGCCGGGCTTCAAGATGTTCACACTGAAAGTTCCCCGGTCGCTGGTGACACCTTAATTTGTCCAATATTCCGCCATCAAATATATTGAACAGGCGGCTAACCTGCACTGCAGCGCAGCCAGCTGGGAGCCTTGGCGCAGAGTGATTTTTAGGGCAGTCACATCCCAGGAATGTTTGTGTTGGTCCCTGTTTTATACCGTTTAGCATTTGCGCGCAGGCAGCTGGGTCATGATTGTCAAGGCTTTTGAAAGATCCCAGAGACTTAAACACCTTTATGTTGGTGTTCTACATGCAAACGTGTTTGAACATGCAATCTAGATAGTTCTTCTTATGTCAGGTGCGGGGGCATTGAGTGACCACTTTGTTCGTTTGTAGGCCGCGGCTCAGAGGAGCATGGGCGCCATGCCAAAATGACAACTATTGGCGCCCTAAACCCTTCCACCACCTTTTGTATTCTATTTGGAATGGTGCAGCAAGCAACTTGTCGCGCCCGTCAGGTGGTCTTTTTGATTCTGCTCCCGCCGTACCTTCGCTCTTCCTGCTCGAGCCTCACGGAGCCGAAAGGACTTTTTGCAGGAGAACCACTTCGTAAGTGCATCGATCCCCACAGGCATTTGGAGTTGGGTCCGCTGAGCAAAGACCGCGACATGGACAAGTTGCTAGTTCTTGGCGCTAGTTCACCCAGAAGTCTCGGTTGTCCAAAAGGAAGCCACGAGTCCTTCATTTCTTCCAGACCCTTTGTTGCCACCCAGTTTGATTTTTTGGGGGCATTCCTATTCACAAGGTCAAGCTAAAGTGTAAACTCCGTGGAAGACAAAGAACCGGAAACAGCCGAGAACGTGTCCCCAAGTTGCTGACTTTCTTGCGGCTTCCGTAGCTCCCCCATCCGCCGGTGTTCAACGAGTCCATGTGTTCCACGGCTCGGCCGAAGAGAAGTGGCGACACTCAACTCATAGTTTCGGCCCAAAAATGGGCGAGAAGAGGACGGTCCTGTGGCTGTGTACTCAGTTGTTCAGTGGCTCCCTTTTTCCCTTTTTTCTTTTTGGGTGGCTGCCCCACTAAAATGGTCTTCCCAAAAAAGGGTTCCCTTTTTTCCCAGGGTCACTGAACAACTGAGTGTAACTGCACCTCCAGAGATTTTTTCAGCGGAAAGTTCCGGCCCGAGCCAAAGGTCCGGTAGCAGCGGCAGCCTTTTTGGTGCTGCCTCTTCAGGAGGCACCGCGATGGATAGCTGCTCGTTGGAGCCGAAATGACCTCTACCCTTCAAAAAAACATGCTATTTGTTTCACTACTTGTAAAGTCAAACTTATTTGCAGGGGGTCAAAGATCTACGTAAGAATGACCGCTTTCTAGTGATATGGTCTCAAGCCACGATTGTCTCCTGGGAATTCTGGCATGGTGGCTAGGAGTGTTCATTATGTTTTTGTTGCTGTTTGGTGGTTGGTGTTCAATGTTCCATTCAAGCTGCGTGCTTATGTTCCCTTGATCGGGGAAACACGCTGCCGCACTGACAGACATGTCCTTCTATGTCCTATCTTGCTAGCCCCGCCCTCGCTTTGCCTGCAGGGGACAGCACGAGTGCCTTGGAGCATTATGGGACGCGCGTGGCATTCGAACCAAACCCTGGATGAGAGACTTGCCATTAAACAGCCAAGTTGGCTCACTATCCTTCATTGATCCAGTTGTCCGACTGTCAAACTTCAGAAGGCCAATACGCAGCCACGCAGTGATGTGAGAATCATTTCCATGGAGAACGCATCATTGAGAACCACATGTAAGAGGTTGAGTTTCAAAGATTGCCGCTCCACTGGATGTCATCGTTGCGCAAGATACACTATAGCGCTTGTTGGTTGTTGCCATTTGTGCCCCATTTGCATGCTCCAAGCTGGCTCCAAGATCCAAACGCAAGGGGATCATAAAGAAGACAGGGCAGCGAACATATCACGCAGCCAAGGACACATGGGCGCTCATTCTAATTAACTCACTGGTGACTGTAAGTTGCGTTGCCTTGGCTGAAGGAAAGTCAGCCTCGAATATGCAATGTTTTCCTACTTGGATTTTGGGGTCCTGTTAGTTGGACTCTGAGCATGCGTTCGTTGTCAAATGTTGATTTGCCCCAATTGCCGCCCCCAATTTCAAGGGGATAAGTGGTTGGGGTACATTCGCAAGGGCTTATATGTCTTTATGTCTTGATGCCGGACAATGCTAATCCCCTCCCTCCCCCCACCCCCCCCCCCCCCGGCGCAAATACACTGATCAAGCACCCAAACACGGGGTTGGGGCCAACGGTGTTTTTGTTTACACTGCATACTCGTGTGGAAAGGTTCCAAGCTTTAGTGATCAAAAGCAGATTCGAGCCTACAGATCTTTCATTTTTCCCGGGTGAGTTAGGGCCGCTACACATTTTGCCCCGCAACGATGTCCAATTCTTGTTCTACCGAAGGGGTTTGGCTGCAATGTCGACCCCGTGCCACCACGCCACCAAGCCCCCCCCCCCGGTTTGGCGGCTGGCTGAGGCCCTTTCAGCATCCCCGTGGCGGACCCGGACAAGAAGATCAACATCTTCGGCAGCAGTACACAGGTGAGTTGGTTGAGTCGAGGCTGCCAGGGCTGACCCACAAACGGACCTCTAGTTGCCCAAGACTTCTTCTTTTTGGGCGGAGGGTCCTGTAAAACCAGCCGCAAGATTCAGGATGCTCTTATTATTTTCCGATGGCCACTGGCGCTGAAGGCTGAAGTGGTTATGCGGACTTCAATGGCTGGAACGCCCCCAAAATGGGTCAGGGAGCAAAGATACTCGAAAACCAGCTCCGCTCCACGGAAAACACAGACTTTCACGTCATAAAATTAGGGTTTTCTGGTCGAGGTGGCTGGAACTGAAATAGCAGTTGGCTTTTGAACCAGCAAAGTTGGCCACGCGAATGGGTTAGACTGCATGGAGCCAGCCTGAAGCCAGCCTTGGGCTTGAAAAAAAAATGACCTGTCCACAGTGACAATACTGTGGATGGACGAAATCCTGCACCACTTTGAAACCATGGGAGTCATTGTTTGCTGGTATTTACAGGGTAATCATCTTTCCGGAACACTGGAAGATGAGGGTAGTCCAAGTTTCATGGGGGCTGGGGGGGGAAGGAGGGGAGGGGAGGGAGAAAAATAAGCCCTAAATAAGGCCTTATTAAGGGCTTCTTTTGGGCTCCCTCCCCCTCCCCTCCCTCCCCCCCCCCCGCCCCCATGAAAGTTAGAGTCCACTTAGGATGCTTGCCAAAAGTGGAAGCCATCAGGAACCGATCTGGTCACCGGCTATTTTTCAGGTGTCCCCTTTAGGACACCCTGCAGAAGCTAGAAGGGGATGGCAATCGCTCATTATTTGCGAACCCGCTTGGTGACACCCATGGCTTCAAGGCGACTGGGTTTCTTCCATGTGCATGTGGCTCAAAGCTACAGTTAGCTTCATAGAAACCAGCTGCAGGAGATTCTGCAGGAAACTCGCCAAATTCCCACCAAAATTTCAGGGGTTTCCTGTAGAACTTCCTGTTGGTTTCTTAGCTAGGGCAGACCGCAGGTTGCAGCGCCAGTCTCACTTTCGCAAGTTTCCGTTCTACGTTTCGTTTGAGAACCACCGCCATACGGCTTCACACACCCCCAAAAGCCCAAGCCCGGCAGGCCGAGAAGCGCTTCACCAGCGCTTTGGGAAGCACCGGCTCAGGCGTTTTGGTTTCGGTTGGAAGGAGTCCGTCAGACACATACTGTGGATGGACGAAATCCATTTCGCACCAATTTGAATCCATGGGAAACCATAATTTGTTGGCATTTACAGGAGAATCATCATTCCAGGGTTTCTTAGGTGGTGCAGGTTTTTGTCCATCCACAGTATGGGTTTGTCTTAAAATGGGGGACCACCCAAAATCGTGGGTTTTCCGGTTGGTGTCCGTTGAAACCCACCAAAAAAGGGGGTACCCTCAAACAAAGACAGACCCACTGGTTGGGGTTGGTTTGAAGGGAACACCACAAAACATTGTGGGGTTTGGTGTCAAAAGACAATCCATGAATCGCCACACAATTCAGCAGTACTTTGAAACAGGAAGTTCCAACAAAAACAAGGATTGTTTTTGGGGGAGCGCGTTACAGGGAAGCACAAATATCCACCAGTTGTTGAGGTTGTGTCAAAGAGAAATCCAAGAAACCAAACTATTGGGTGTGTTTTAGAATGAAATCCGGGAACAAGCACACGTTTCTGGTGTGGCTGGCAAGGAACTCCAGGACAAGTTGACCCAAGTGCGGCTGCAAACTTACGTCGGTTACCAGGGTGCATTTCTGTTTGGAGATTTCACTTCTAGCGGCATGCCAGCGGTACACAACAACCTTTGAGCTCACCTCAAGCCCCTTTTCTACATCAGATTGCCTTCTGCAGCCAAATGCCTTCAAAATCTTAGACGGATGCGCGCTGGTTTCAAACCTCCGCCCGGGTTTCCCTGGCGCTTCTCGGGCGCACGGGAAAAAAAAAAGACGATGGCGAGCTCCCAGGCGGCGAAGGCCTGTTCGCAGCCGGGGCCCCGAGCTTTCCGCAAAGAGCTTTCCGATGGACCAGGATGAAGGCAGATGAGTCACTTGCCCATAATCGCTATGGGATTGGTGAAGGTTAGGGGTCCAAAGGGCGGAAGTAGTGGCGGAAAAAGCCGCCTTTAAGCAGCTCTTTACATCATGGTTCTGGGTTCGTTGTTGTTTTTTTGCGCCAGGTTTTGAGTGTGACTTAGATGGGGTTGAACCAACAGCAAGTGGACCTAGGGGGCCGATGTGGATTTCGAGCCATTCCATTCAGTCAGCCAGTCAGCCAGGCAGGGTGCTTGCATAGAGTAGTCAAAAGACCAAAGCTACTGGTCACATCCCATGTTTTCCTTTTCTGGAATGGATCAGGTGTGAGAGGCATGGTGAAGATTTGCCGGCATGCCGTTGCGGTGCTGCTGGGCTGAGTAGCATTGAGTGCTCAGCCAGAGTGAAGCAAATCAATGGCTTCGAAGGATGATATCATGACGGACAATCCTCACCTACGAGTTAATTGACCTCCACTTGTTGATGTTTTAAAGGAGTACCAACGAACATTAGAGACGTTGTGCACGAGAGCCAGTGCGCTTCAGTGTTTGTTTGTTAGATTGTCGCCAGAACTTAGGGCCCAAAAAGTTGGAATAGAGTTGCGGGGGCCCACAAGTCAAGCATCGTTATGAATATAGGAGTAAGTTCTGTAGTGACCCATCTAGGAAACCAACTACAGGAAATTCTATAGTAAACCCCTGGTTTTGGGTGGTACTTGGCTAAAACTTCCTGTAGAATTTCTTTCCCGTAGCTGGTTTCTATGACCCCAGGCAGGTCCAGCCCTGGACTGTTGGGTTTTTCCGAGGCTTCGAGTGGAGGGCTATTTGGCAGCGGCCTGCGCCTCAGAGGCTCAGAGGGACAGGCGGTGAGCAAACGTCCACGCTGCATCCACGCAGGACAGAGGTGCAATCCAAAGAGATGACCTTATGGGCAAGCGCCTTCCAGATGTGCGCTGAGGGTTTTTGTATTACACCCTGGGATTACACCCTTGGGAAATGACCCAGCATGATTCAAAATAACACGGTTTTAGGGGTTCTGGGGTTGGGGGTTTCTAGGTCCCCCAGCTAGGTGCCCTTTCTCACCTGTTTCTTTGTTAGTTGGGAGGGTTCCCCTACTAAAATAGACTACAGAAAATAAATCGGGTACCAACTTATTCTAGCCTATCAAATCTGGAGGACCTAGTCATGGGCTTGCCTTCCAGATGTGCCGCTACCCCAACACCCCGGCCCCCTTTGTTGAACTTGTAAGACTTAAGAATTGGCTTGCAGGCTTCTTCCAGTCCGATACTGCTAATTTGATGGGAATGTCCCGTACCATCTTGGTAGAGCCAACAGTCCATGGCCTCACAACTACCAACAAACCGCAAACAATTCAGGGTAGGTCGCTTTACCGTATCCCCTTTTGCTTTCACGTGTTAAAGGTGTAACCCGCATTGAATTTGGAGGTCGTTCAAAATCCTGTATGAGGTCGTGAACTGTTTTGCGAAGGGGCCATGAATGGCCTCCCTTGTTAACATAGATGTTCAAAGATGCCCCACCCCGCGCCCCATCTTTATGTCTCTTCACCCAAGTCACGTGCTTTGTAGCCGGAGACCGCATTGATCACCCTCAACAGCACGGACACTGGCAACGTTGTTTTTGTTCTGCGCAAGCAAGGGTGGTCTGTTTGGCGATTTGAAAGAGGGGGTCGGCGGACGGTTTGTTGCCTTCCCCGAAGGACCCCGAAGGACCCCGACGGTTTTTTGGTGTTGGATTGACCTTGAGTCGGAGACTTCAATTGGGGGGCCCTGGGGTTTGCGTTGGTGAGCTGGGGGCCGGGGCTCTTGCCCAGGTGGTATCTTCGGCGCATCATCAGGCCGGGCTTCGAAGATGCCGTGTTGGCAAGCAGCACAACGAAGTGCTACATGGGGGTGGGTTTTTGCCAAAAACGGTGGCCTTTTTTGTAATGTTGGGTTTGGTTTGCCTTGGTTGCCCGCGATTCCCTACTTAAACAAAGGGCAAATGAGCTGAACGTTCTCGCAGCATTGGGGGGGGGGGGACGGATCTTGTTGACATTTTGAATTCTGCCATCAATGTTCTCAACATATTATCAGAACTGTGCGAATTGGGTATGCATTTCTGTCAGGCTGCGGTCCCCCGTATCTCAACAGCAGTAGCCACGCTCGCCACTCAATTGTCAAATGATGATTGCACCAGCGGTGACGTCTAGTCGATGAGCTGTTGGGTGCCAAGATCCATCTCGGGGAGGTCCATCTCGGGGGCCCCCTCCCCGCCCAGCACCGGATGCAGCCCACGGGGCACCAGCCAAGCTATGCCTTTCTCGCCCTGGCAGCCCATTTGGATTTCGACGAGGTCCCCCAGTAGTGCCCTTTTACTTTTTTGGGAGGGTTCCCCTAGTAGAATAGACTACAGAAAAGTTGGTACCCTTATTCTAACCTCTCTACTGAAGGACCTAGACGAGGTACCAGCCAAGCTGTGCTTGCTCGCCAGGAGCCACAGAGGAGACTACGCCCAAAACCAAGGCTGCGCGTTTTTCGGCAAGCCGAATCGACTTGCTAGTGGGGTGGGGGGTCCGAATACGAACAATATGCCTAATTCATGGCAGGCTGGAGTAAAAAAAGACGAGCTCACTATGCTGAAGGTCCTCTACTTGAGGATCCCCTCTTTTAGGTTTTAGAATCAGTGTAAAGTTTGCAGATTATTAGTGACCTGCTGGCTGATGACTGGGGGGATTCCATTTAAGAAGGAATCCAGATTAATTTTTCGAGAGAACAATCCATGTTCATTTATCGGGTTGGTTCATCCGGGTGAACAATTGTGTACCCCTTGAACGCTGCGAATGTGGGGTCCATTCAATTAAGGGTTCATTGGATTGTCGGGAATATTCGGGAATGGTCCCCACCCGGCTAAGCGGGCGGCCGGACGACTACTTGTTATCGCGTATCTTCCTGCAAAGAGGGCTTTTGAATCGATCTCATGTCAGCCGTGGACAGCATTACTGGGGTATCGATTCTCATTGTTCCCTATCGGCTTCGCAGATACAAGGGTATTTGTGTACTGGTCCCCGACAATTTTTGCGGGGCAAAAGTTGTCGGGCATTCACAAGTTTGCGCAAATCATCACGGGGGGTTAGAGCTGGATCACCCAGCAAGGTTCCATCCTCAGGCTGTGAATGTGACAAGTGCAGCAAGCTCCATGGCAAAAGGTCCAATGAGGAAAGTCGGCAGGTTCAGCGCTGTTTCAGACCTTGTTCAAAATTGATTTTCCTGCTGCACGGATTACAGGGACCCCCCTTTGTGAACAACCCTGTCGAAACCTCTGCAGTTGGGTGACAGTAGATGGCACATGTCCCTCTATGTTGGTTTGGTTATCGCCGCTCACCGTGTCATTTGCTTTCAAGCAGTCTAGATGCCAACCCTTGCGGTCCAGTTGTCGTGTCTGCTCCGGCTGGAGGCAAAGCCGGACTTCCCGCCTGCCCCAGTTTTTGGTGCGGGGGCCCGGCTGGGCCATGCGGACCCCGGGTGTATAGAGGATAAGAGCACCCAAATGGCGAGGTTGTGCAACCTACTGTAACCCGGCTGTAAGCGATGTTGGCCCTTTTCAATTCGCCCATATTTGGCACCTTCCCCCACCAGTACGGCACGTCGGAGGGTTGATGGATGGTCGCGTCCTCAGTCATGTTGGACCTGCCGTGATTCTTGCAAGAGAAGCCACAGAATGCCGGCAATCCTTGACAGTGAAGATTCTCACAGCACTGGAGTGGGAACCCCCTTATGCCTCAGAAGCAGAAAACCCCTCACTTGCTATTCAGCGCGAATCAAAGCAGCGTTTCAGGAGCGGATGTGGAGGAGAAGACACCGAAGAGCAAGGCCGAGCGCCTACAGTTCTGATCATGACAGCGCCAAGGTTGGGAATCAGGAGCAATTGGAGTTGGTGTTTGATTTATGGTTAGCAAACTAGGCAACAAGAATGCAGGGAGCAAGTGTTGAACATATTTGTGCAACGTGGGCTTCTAGTGTACGACATGTTACGGATATTGTGTGAGCTGCCTTGTTCTGTGAGTTTATCGGCAAGCTGTCGTGGTTTGATCGTTGTGAGAGGCATGATGCCCTTGACTGCAACAGATTTGAATCGAGACTTCAAACCCTATCCACGTGTGCTTGCGTTATACACCAGGAACTACACTAGCATGCCCACGGGTACAGCGGTACTAGTGTGGTATGCCTTGGCTGCAGAAGTCTACTTTTTGGATATGTAGCAGTTTGAATGCCACGCAATCATTCATGCAATAAATAATTGTCCAAGCGCACGTGCACAGCGCATGGGTTTTTGTTGATTCACGTCCTTCCTGCATACGCACATGCACATGCGCACAAAGTGCGGATGAGTTGATAAATCTGCGGCAAAGGACAGACCGTTCACTGGAGTGTCGAGGGCGACAAACAGCTTCAACACTGCAAATACAGCACAGCTAAACAGAACAGTTCGGCAAGTTCATATTCATGAATGGCATGAACAATCGTATGACCATTCTCCAGCGTGTTGTTGACCAACACTGCTGCTCTGACCTGGAGGCGTTTTCATTCATTTGGCATTTTTCATGGAGCTTTCAGTCAGGTGAAGCCCGACTTTCCACCCGCGCCGGCCTTCGGCGCAACGCTTAGTTCCAGCTGGGTCTCCGTGTTGGTGACATGGCTTCACTTTGCCCTTGGGCTCTCGAAATGGTGGACACTCCCTGATGCTTCCTTTTGTTTAATCACCCAACAGAATGTTTTTTAATCACCCAACAGAAGGTAGCCTCAATCAAGACGCAAGCAAACACAAACACACACTAAGTTGCAACCCGCGCAAGTGCACCTCAATTTACTTGCGCGTTAGCGGGTTCCATTTGCAGTTGCACCTCAAGTCACTTCTTGGCATACTGGCGCTGACAGCTGAATGTAGTTTGAGCTTTCCCTTGGCCAAGACCGCAGGAATGACCCTGAAAGACCTGCACTGGCAAGAGAAGCAGGCAAACTCTTGAGTGTCAGCTCCCAACAAGCAAGACCTAAAGCAAAGGAGGCGTTGCGGGTGCAAGCTTGCCCTTGCCGCCTTGCTTTGAGGCTTGGAGCCAGAGAAGACGCCGACCAAGGCCGACCCTGTCACTGGGATTGCCGGCGTGTGCCTAGAAGCTTGCAACCCCAGGTGAGCCACTTGCTCAAAACGCGGGTAGATGAAGGTTAGGGACAGTCCCAACCATAAATAGCTGCGGCCGCCTTTCTTTACATGGTTCTGGTTCGACCATTTTAGTAACGGGTTTTGATTGTGACTCAGGTTGCCAATCTGCCAGCTGGTGTTTGTATCTTGGTGATGTCCATGGAAAATGCGCAACAGGGCTACGTACGAGCTGCTGTTGGGAAACGCACCAGGGTGATCATCCCTGTTTCCGTTTGGGGCGCCTGTTGGTTGCTTACAAGGGTTCTCTTTATGGAAGGTGCCGTCCAGCCTTTGCTACATTGGATGCCACTGTCCAGGGCACTTTCGTGGCTTGCACGCTGCTGTTTTGTTGCATTTCCCGCGTTGGTGTGGCTAGCCGAGTCCGACGTTGTCACGCATTTCAGGGACATTCGGGTGCTCTCCTAAGGACCCTGTCCAAGCACCCCTCCTCAAGAACACCTTGAAAAACCCCTTAAGTTAGGCCCTTGAGGTTCTAATTATCAGCCATTCCTGGGACTGGGGGTTGGGAGTGGTATGATTTTCCGCGCCAGGCAAAGCCTGCCTTTCCATCCGGCGCGGGCCTTGGATCAACGAAGTCGGAACAGCTTATGCCCTTGCTGGAAAGGCAAACCCCACTTTGTTTTGGTGCTCGTTGGTTTGGGATTCCGCACGGCTGGTCTTTCTTAAGAACACCATAGACTATGGAAATGGTTTGCGCGCAGTGTTGCCATTCAACCAGAAACCCACAGAACCATCAATTGAAAGGAATATGTTTTGCAGGGGACCCCCCCCCCTTTTTCCATCTTTTTTCCCTTCTTGGGCTCAACAATTTGCACGGTATCACTTTGAGCTCAGTTTGCGCGACTTGAACAGCGATTGCGTGGCTCAGGCTTTGCCTTTGGGAATGCACACTGACATCTGCCGAAAATGGAACCTGGTTGCTCCTTTCTCGCGAAGCGGATGCGCCATGTTGGAAGATCTCTTGTGCATGGAGACAATGACCAGTAGAAGGAGATTATGGCCCTCCAAGCAAGTGAGACAAAGCATGATTCATGTGTTTGGGTCCAACATGGGTCATGTCAAGGCGGTATTTGTGCTGCATGCCTCTGTGGCCATTGGCCCGCGACAATCCCCGTGGGCATGCAGTTTGGCGCGGGAAATCCCTGGACCACCCAAGAAATTCCAGGGATTTGGAGCGTATGGATCCGCACGCACCTCGGTGGAGCGCATTCTCATTCTCAGGCGACGTGCCTACAGGTCTTTTTGCAGGCGGGGGGGCAGAGCAGCCAAGGAATGCCACTGGCCATTTTGGGTATTTGCTGCGGGTTTCGGGCCCAGGTTCTGATTAGAAACCACGCAAAGCAATAACCCTTAAACACTAGAAGGGGGAGAAGCTAAAATTCCTGTTTTTGGATTTCCTTCGTTGTTTGGCCAACCGGGGCCAAATCAGGCCTCAGATCAGGGTATGTTCTAAGCTTAAGCCCCGATTGGGCCACGCAGCTTGTGGAGAGGGATTTGTATTCGAGCGATGCTGACATGGGTAGGGTCAGCCATTTACTGTAGCCTTGTGCTTTTGGGTTGGGTGGTTGGATTGGCGCTCTCAGTCACGAAACTGAACCGGTCACAAGTTGCCAATATGATCTTTCGGGTTCCGAAGCAGATGGTACATGTCCTAACCTGCGGCCCGGGTGTGGGACGCAGATCTCCTTTGTTGAATCTGGCATCGGACATTGCATGCGATTGACGCTAGACAACTGGCACCAGACACAAGCACCCGCGTTGCCAGCCGCAATCATGGCACCATTTGTATGTGAAGCCTCTGCCTCAAGCCTTTGACATGTCTTTGCAAGTGGAGCGCTTCTTTCGAAGGCAGGACATCTGCCTATGTTGTGGCGAGCCTGCCTGGGGCAAAATGATGTGGGCCCTTGTCTTGGCTTGAGGTTTTGGAGTTATTGTTGGATTTGCAGGTGTGATTTGAACTTGCAACTGTTGCATGTGTTTGTAAGGAAACATTGGTAATGTTGCATGTGTCGCAATTTCCAATTTCTTTTGGCATTTGTTGGCATGTACCTGGAGTCGTGACCCTTTAGAAAAATCGGTCATGACCCCATGTTGGGTCATAACCAACCATTGAGGGGTCAGAAGGAGACTCCAGGTATTTGTGGGAACTAAATTGGGCGTCCTGCAGAATTTGCCACCAGGAGAGAAGACGCCCAGGTCCAAGGCACTCTTTGGGGTGGGGGGGGGGGGGGCGGGGGATGCAGTAAGTCATGGAAAGGCGTCGCACTTTTGGTGGAGGACTGCAGTAAATCGTAAATCAGTGGGTTCCAAACTTGACTGCTGTTGGGTAACGGATCTTTAGACTTTAACTTTTTGGTTGGAATCAAGTGGTGTTCCCCCCTAAATTCACCACAAGTTAACAACTTTTCGCAGAGGGGTCAACAGCAACGGAGCAAATAATTGGAGCTCCAAATGAGTCACAATCAAAACCCGGGTAGATGAAGGTTGGTAAGGGACGATCCCCACCATAAATTGGGGCGGCCTTACATGGTTCTGGGTTCACCTTTTTTGTACCGGATTTTGACTATCACTCAAATGGGAGCTTCTCAGCAGGGTCCACCCGTGTGGTTGCAACAAAGGCAACTCCAACCATTTTGGGGGGTGGGGGGGGCTGTTTTGTGGAACACCCAAGTCACCGAAGCCTGAATCAGTCAATCATGGAATCAGCTGCAAGGGGAGAGCCCTTGCCGCTTTTCAGCTAGCCAAGCTATCTCGCGCGAGGGTTCCTCAAAGATCGCCGGCGATGGAGATCGATGACCGGTCCCTGACTTCTGGTGAATGAATCATGTTTGTGAAGCCCAGCAACACCTATATACACAAATATATATATATATATAACACACACCCCACCCACAACCACTCAGAAAGTGACTCACAAATGCTTCAAGTGCTGAACAAGCAACATCCCGTCCTGAACCACGGATTAGGACTCTTGCCTGCGACACCTGTTCGGACCCAAAGCCAGACATCTTCCAGCGCAGTGAACGGCGACATGTTGAGCTCTTGCGCTGCTTTCGGAAAGCGACATGTGTACATTGAGCATGCAGCATGGTTTTTGTTTGTTTGTTTTGTTGTTTGTTTTTTTCCTATAGTAAGGGTGGATTTCCGTGGTTGCAGCGGCTGGGCTCACCTCGGGCATTTGTGATCTCTGTTCAAATGATCTCAGTTTCAAGGATCGCATATGCATCACACACAATCATATGTGTTTGATTGGGTACAAGCTCAGGTAGATACGCTCAAGCTTGGTTGGATTGTGTTACATAGATTCCATGGTTGGTTGGCCTATGCTGGCGGCTGCCACGCCTGGCAGCCTTGCACCGTTCTAGCCGGAATTCTGTTCAATCCTCCGGCATTGCAAGCTGCGAGCCCTTCTTTCAGCGGCAGCTTCGTGGCTCGTGGCACGAATTTCGTGATTTTGGCTGGCTTAATCCGATCTTGGACTGTCCTTGGATGCGTAACGCTGCAAGGGCTTTGCCGCACATCACCATCCTAATGCTTCACATCTGTCAGGAAAGACAGATGCACTGCTGACCCTCAGCAAGCCTCTAGTAGTGGGTTCCATGCTGTTGCGGTTCAAAGGGCAACCAAAATGGGTGTTTTCGGTTCAACCGGTTTTTGCAGCTTTGTTCAGCTGTTTAGAAGTAGGAAGAGTACCAGATGTTCATGAAGGACAAGATCCGTTAGGCACCAAGCCGCGCCTGTCGCCTCAGTGCGAAGCCGCAGGCGAAGCCGGCCTTTCCTCCAGCGCCAGCCTGCGTGAGCCCAGGCCTCGGCACGGCGTGTCTCCACGAATTGCCCCAAACTAATATTCCGGAAGAGTTGTGAGTATGAATACGATATATATATATATATACATATACATTTATTTACACATATATATATATATATATGGCTGTGGGTCAAAACCAATGGTACCATTTTGGGGTAGGTGCACCACCCATTTTAGTCTATTTTAGTGGAGATTGGGATGTTCATTGGGGTACGGGATTTTGACCCATGGCCATATGTATATATATATATATGTATGTGTGTGTGTATGTATATTTGTATACTTATAGATTTTGCTCTAGGTCTCATCCACCCGTGGTCGCGGTACAACCCCCGTTTTCCTTGCTGAGTGGTTGTGGGTGGGGTTGGTGTTTTATATATAGATATCTATATATATATATATATATGTGTGCGTCTATTACGGGTTTGTAACAAACTCATACAACCCCCGCACAGGCGGGGCTTGGCCTTGCAAAAGCACACCAACTTGCCGAATGTTGGGACGCCGCCAGTTCTCGTCTTCTTGCAGCACGTGTTGGCGGTATGCCCCGCCGGGCAAGTCCAAAAATTGAAGCAGCCCACAACATGGTTTGTTTCCCTAAACTCACTTCCTGAGTTCATGAACTTTGATCTTTTGGGGAAGACCACTTTGGTGGCAAGTATAACTTTTGGACTTTTTTTGGGCCACTCAACAAGTGAGTTATCAGATTTCCTCGACAAAGACTCCTGGGCTTCTTGTTTCGATGCGTGCTGAGCTGAGGCGAGGAAGCGGCGGTGTCCAGCCTCTTTGGGAGCGGCCTGGCTTGGGACACCGCAGTCATCTCTCGGGCTGAGTGACTGATGGAGCTCGTGCAAGCTGGGTGTCCCAAAATAGGGGAACTCCGAGAATGAGTGCTTCCTTTAAAAGCACAGAAAGAAGGGGTTTCCCAACAAAAGACACCCCGGTGGGTGGCGGGCAGACCCGCTCATAATTACGAGCTTTGGCCAAGATATCCCGATTTGTCCAGGTGCGGAGGGATGGGGGACTGCTTGCTAAGTTTCTCGCAAAAAGAGTACATATTCTTTGATTTTCCAACATCCAGTAGGGCAACTCCTGACTGTGGCTGGTAGTTGGCAGGGTTTCTCTCCAAATTTTGAGCAGCTCTAAAAACCCCCCGTTACATCCCAAGCAAGAGTTGTGTCATAACAAGGCCCCGCGCAAGCAAAACCCTGCACGGCGTAAGCCGGCGTAAGCACTTTTTGGGGAAACATGCTGCGTAAGCACCTGCGTAAGCTCTTCTTCGTGTTTGCTGGGGAAAGCTTTGTAAGCATGCTCGGAAGAGTTGTTTCACACATGTGCTTATGTATTTATTGGTGGCTGGTGCTGTTGCAACCCTAGTCGAGCTTGGCAACTTGCCCAGAGACTTTGGCTGCAGGAAGACGTCTAAGACCGCATGTGCGCACCAATCGAAAACACAACCAGCAGAACTTTGACTGGGCGCTCTTGGGGCTCATGCTAGGTGCTGTTGCAACCTTTACTCAGACAAACAAAGGCTTCTGAAACCGCTGATTTGCGAAAGCTAAAGGGGCTCGGGCGCGTAAGCTCGCGTAAGCAGGCGCGTAAGGTTCGCGAAAGCTCGCTTAGCTCGGCTGCCCGCTAGTCCTCGAGACGGATGCCGCTGCCGCGTAACCCGTTTCTTGACTTGCGGTAAGAACAATAACGCCATGCCGCTGAAACTCGATGAGGGTGGTTCTTCGTTATCTTCTTTCTCAGAGTACATCATGTTGAACAGGTCTGGCGGCTGCATGAGAAAAGGAGCCCGTGTAAGCAAATCTTGAGGGGAAACACTCAAAACGCCCACGCGTAAGCGATGCGTAAGCTCAACATGCTCGCTGTCTGCCGCGTAAGCCAAAACATGGATCGCGTAAAGAAAGCGCAAGCTTGCGCGTAAGCACCTTGATACGACATAGGGATTCATGGGAGGTTTATAGAGTGGATCAAATGAAGGAATTTTCACCAGGGGTGCAGCCGCCCTGTGGTGTATTTACCTGGTTTTGGGTGGACTCGAAAACCAGGGGACTCACGGCTGGGCTTCATTTGACCAGCCTTAAGGATCGCAAGTGCAGTCGACTGTGGTGTTTGAATCTGATGCTGGCTCCCACTGCATCCATTTTCCCTTCTGGTGGGTAGCCATGCGTGAAGAGAACACCCCTTGTTGAGTCAAAGCTTCCTACGCACTTCTCCCCTGCAAGTGTACAAAAAGACGTTGTGGGGCTAGTCTCCCTGTAATTAGTGGCAACTGGACCCACGCCGCAGGCCAAGACCTTAAAGTTGCTCTAAATACTGTGGATGGACGAAATCCTGCACCACCTAGGAAACCCTGGAATGATTCGATTCACCTCTAAATACCAACAAAGAATGGTTTGCCATGGTTTCAAAGTGGTGCGAAATAAGTTTCATCCATCCACAGTAGTGACTTGCATAAATGGGTGCAACCCAGCTCGCTCAGGTACGGGCACCTCCGGCAACATCTTTGGCTCCTCGGCACCCGGCGAGGAGAAGCAGGGAGGGGCGAACCTGTTTGGATCCGGAAACCTCTTTGCGGGCGGCACCTCTGGCGACTCAGCGTCCGGTGCCTTCTTTGGAGCCGGGTCGTCTGGTGGCCTGTTTGGCAGTGCAGCCTCATCCGGCAGCATCTTTGGTACGGGCGAGTCTTCGTTTGGAAGCAAACCTGCTGAGACTACCCTTGGCTTCGGAGGCAAGTCATCAGATACCAAGTCTAGTGAGACTTTCGCCTTTGGCAGCAATACTGCGGAGACCAAACCCTCTGAGACATTTGGCTTCGGCAGCAAGCCTGCAGAGACTAAGCCGCTTGATCTGTTCGGTGCTGGCAGCAAGTCATCGGACACCAAGTCTAGTGAGACTTTCGCCTTTGGCAGCAAGACTGCAGATACCAAGCCGCTTGACCTATTTGGTGCTGGCAAGTCGTCAGATACCAAGTCTAGTGAGACATTTGGCTTCGGCAGCAAGCCTGCAGAGACTAAGCCGCTTGATCTGTTCGGTGCTGGCAGCAAGTCATCGGACACCAAGTCTAGTGAGACTTTCGCCTTTGGCAGCAATACTGGAGATACCAAGCCGCTTGACCTATTTGGCGCTGGCAAGTTGTCAGATACCAAGTCCAGTGAGACATTTGGCTTCGGCAGCAAGCCTGCAGAGACTAAGCCGCTTGATCTGTTCGGTGCTGGCAGCAAGTCATCGGACACCAAGTCTAGTGAGACTTTCGCCTTTGGCAGCAAGACTGCAGACACCAAGCCGCTTGACCTATTTGGTGCTGGCAAGTCATCAGATACCAAGTCTGGCGAGACTTCCGCCTTTGGCAGCAAGACCGCAGACACCAAGCCGCTTGACCTATTTGGTGCTGGCAAGTCGTCAGATACCAAGTCTGGTGAGACATTCGCTTTTGGCAGCAAACCTGCAGAAAGCAAGCCACTTGACCTGTTTGGTGCTGGTGGCAAGTCATCGGATACCAAGTCTGGTGAGACTTTCGCCTTTGGCAGCAAGACTGCGGACACCAAACCTCCTGAGACATTTGGTTTCGGCAGCAAGCCTGCGGAGAGCAAGCCGGTTGACCTGTTTGGTGCTGGCAGCAAGTCATCATCTGCTTTCGGCTTTGGCAGCACGTCTGGTAGCGCTGGGTTTGGCAGCACAAGCGGCGCCAATTTGTTCGGCGGCAAAGAGGCCACTGGCGACGGTCTGTTTGCCTTGGGCGAAGCCAAAGCACCGGCTTCTGAGAAGCGAAGCAGGAGCCACTCGGCACATGAGTAACCATCCGTCAGCCATTTACAACAAAAGATAGGCATCATCAACTTGAAATTCTGACAAAGGCCCACCTGAAGCGATCCCCTGTAATAAGTAGTAATTGTCAGAGAGCTCATGGGCGATTGAATGGGCTTTGAAGCTTTAAGATGGTTTCCCTTAATTCAACTTATATAGATATATGGTTGCATTGTTCGACCAGGTCAGACAATTACTAGGCTGAGTTGCGGATGGCTGTAACTGACTGGCCCACGGATTTCCAGCTCAGGCCCGCCTCTGGGAGCTGCTTGGTTTGCGTTTGGCGCTTCGTTGGAATTGCGGGAATTGCAGATGCTGACTCCTTCCTTTTCAAAAAATGGCTATGTGTTTTAATGGTTGGAACCCGCTGAAAAGTGAGTGGTGGACATAACTGTAACTCCCCACCGAATTCTGATGTCCACCAAAGGGTCCCTCATTAAACCTCATACCCAAATAACCTGGAGCACAAAAAATGGAGTCGCCCACAAGGAGATTCCCCTGAACACATCGCTTGTATGTTCCTGTACGGGTGGATATCTGACTCTCTGCTTGGTGTGTTTCTTTTTCTCTGAGTGAGTCCCAAGTTGACATGAATCAGAGCCTGATGATTTTGTGATTGTTTTCACACCGGTTTCTTCAGTTGTTTCTTTCTTGACGCCGCCGGGCATGAGCCAGCATTCATTTGGGTATGAGTCAAATTTAAACCGCCAGGGAACCGCAGGTTTGAGTCCTGTTTCCATTTATCAGGGTTCCATTTTGGGTACACATTTTTGACCCACAGCCATTTCATGGACAACGCCCCAATGTTCGGAAGCACTTTTTGTTCTGGAGCATACTTGAGCTTTTAAGCTTTATCTTGGAACTACAACCATTTAACTGGGGTACTAGTAGCATCTCTTTCCCCTGGCGGAAACTGCGTAGCCTTTGGTTGTGCTCGAGGAGGCGTAGTTGCCTGTGAAATGACGAGTTGTACTGCTTACATTGGCTCACACCGAAATCGCAGCTTTACAAATCTGGTGGCTGATGGAAGCTGGTGGAGCTGGTGGCAGTCATAGTCCGTTCAGGATTAGAGTCATACAGGCATAGCCTTTTGAGTTGTTGGATGGCCTGATGCAGCCAATAGATAGGCCACAAACATTTTGGGTAAGGCACTCAAAGCAGAAAAATCAGTTAACTCGCTCAAAGACCCCGGACTGGCACCATCCAAATTGCAGCTGTCCAGCTGGGTTGCAAGGCCAACATGGGAACCTGTGGCCCATCAGTAACCGCCCAGGGCGAAGAAAAATCAGATGGAACAAGTACCTGAATCGACGCTAAGGCGGTTGTCCGTATGTTAAGGTGCCCGCACCATGGAGCCATGCGATCCTTCCAAGCTCTATATATATATATAGATCTGCTGATTATCCTAGCAATGGAGCTGTTGGTTGCGGATTGATGTGTCCTCGGTTTCAGGTGCAGCTGTTCATGGCGAAAGATAGCTTCTGCCACTTTATGAAAGGCTCACCAGTTCCAGGGTAAACAAAGACCTCAAACATATTCAGGTATCCACTCATTGGTTAACCACCAAACCACCAATCCAAACCACCAACTAAAGGGAAGCTGACATATGAAGGTCCCTTACTTGAGGATCCCTTACTTCAGGTTTTGACATTCAGTAGGACAGGGGCAAACCGGGCGCCCATCCCAGGGTGATACCTTCGGGCGGCAAGTCTCCGCACCTTGACTCAAATCAGGTTTCGCACCGGGGGTTGCAGAGTCGTAGCCTGGAGGTCGTCCTTTTGATCGATTGGGTTGAGTAGAAATAGATGGAGTGGGGAAACCCATTTGTTGACCAAAAGGACACCTGTCGTAGCCTTAAGGTTGTAGCACTAAACTTGCACCACCTGCCCATGTAGCCATGCAGGTGTCTCGCCAAGATGCATTGAAGCGAGAGGGACACGATAATTTTCCTTTTTAAGCCTGGGCATTGCGATGACAAGTCCTGAGCACACTTCGTACCAAGGGCACAAGCCATTGTAGCGGTGCTTGTTGCATGACTTCCTGCACTTCCAAACGCACGGCATTTCTCGGTGTTTCCAAAAGCATTGTACAAGGCTTAGCTGATGTCCGGATAGGCTTGGATTTATTGGCGGTCGCGAGGCTTTTGTTTAGCATTTCGAGCATTTTCGAGCGTTGCATAGCTTATTAGCCGACTGGGCCCTACCCCGATATTCGTCAGGCCGGCTAAGGGAGTTCTTGTATTGAGCATATGTTGTTCAAACAGCCACTTGGCTTCTGGAGATCTGTGATGCTGACAGGGTTGGTCAACCTAGGCAGCTTGCACGTGTCACTCGGCCCTATTTTGAACAATCGTTAAGAATGTTTGTTACAAACAACATTGGCGGAAGGCCTCAGCACAGGTCGGGTCTTGTTGCTTGGTACCAATCCAGATGAATCTTGTGGTGAATGGTCAACTTGCAGATCTACCAACAAATCACGGGGCAACTCAACCACTCTGTTTTTGCTTCTTCATCAGCTATTGGGACCATGTTATTTTCTTCTTGCAAATGGGCCCCTAAGACTTATTCGTTTCCCTTGCATAACAATCCTTCCCAAAGCTTGGTTGAGAAACGACATGGGGTGGTACTGTGGATGGACGAAATCCTGCACCACCTAAGAAGCTCTGATTCTGATGATTCCCCTGTAAATACCAACAAACCGTGGTTTCAACCATGGTTTCAAATTGGTGCGAAATGGATTTGGTCCATATACAGTAGGGGCAATGTTTTTTTGATCAATAAGGAACCTGCTCAGGGTATGATTATTCCGACCCCACCCCCATCACACCACCGCCCGACCTTGCAAACAAGCGAGCTGCTGAGCCTTGCAAGTGCAACTCCTGTCTTTTTGACGCTTGCGAAAGGCACAATCTGTCCACGCGCAAGTCTTTGATCGCGACACACGAGACGCTTGTGGCCCGCTAATCACATTTGTTTGGTATCCTCCGTATCCACTGTTTGTTTCCGTTTTCTTCCCAAGGCGCCTTTGGACCTGGTGCCGGGCGCGGAGGCGCTGGTGCGCTGTTTGTGAACCCCGGAAGAACAGCTAGGTGCCCTTTTCCCGTGTCTTTTTTGGGGGAGGGTTCCCCTAACAGACTACAGAAACAAGTTGGTACCCTTATTCTAACCTCTCTACTGGAGGACCTAGAACAGAGGTTTGGTTGATCAGTGAGTTTCTTTCTTGCGAGAATTCCGAAAAACATTTCTTTCGTGAGTGAGTGCCCGGCTCAACATGGTGACCTCATGAAGGTTTCTTCCCCACGTTCTGAGCAACCCAGTTCCTTCGAGCAACCGTTTACATGTACAGCAACTAATTGAAAGCAGCGGCCCCTCAATGTTCCTCGCAAACAGATCTGCTGATGGCTTCTGTGGTGGGAAGTCCAATATTGATTCCGAGCCATGGCAAAAAAAAACACGGGAGGGATTTGTGGAGCCTCGGCTCTGCAAAAGCGTCACGCGTCCTGAAGGCTCCCTACTGTGGATGGTTGCGAAATCCATGAAACGCACCACAAAACCATGGTCGAAGCCATGGTTCGTTGCCATTTACAGGGGGAATCAGTTCTGAAACCAGGGTTTCTTGGGTGCTGAAATGGATTTCGGCTGCAATGCCTCCCTCTGCTATGGCTTTGGATCAGTCTGGGACCCAGAGACGCCCCGAGTCTAATTTTGTGAGGAGCCCCGCAGCAAGCGCCGCGCCGGCAGTCTGCCAGATGAACAAAAGGAGAACGTCGGATCGCACATCGACCTGGGAATATCCCGAAGCTTGTGGGACCTTTTGATACGGAAACCAAATGGATGCATGTCTTGGATGTCTTGTTTGGGTTTTGTCCTCTTCTCTTTTTTTTGGGGGGGGGGTAGTGGACAGGTTGGTTTCGTTGTGTTTGCCTTTTTGGGGGGTAGTGGATAGGTTGGTTTCGTCGTGTTTGCCTTTTGGGAGGTAGTGATGGGTTGCTTTGGTTGCGGTGGTCGGGTTTTTCGCCAGGAGGAGGCCGCGGCCGAGCCGGGCCCCCGCTCTAAAGCGCACGCGGACGTCTTGGCCAAGCGGAAGATCGTGCGCGCGCGGAGGCCTCCGCGCGCGGAGGCGATGGTCGCAGAGGTGGTGGGTCAAAACTTGGTGCCCTCGCACCAGCTAACATGGGTTTGTGCACAGACCCCCTGTGGAAAGACTACTTTCCTTTTGGAAATTTTGAACAAACCCATGTTAGCTGGTGGGAGGGTTCCCAAAATTGAACCCTGGTAAGTGGAGACATGGACCAAGACCTGCGGTTGTTGCCGGGTGGTTTCATTTTGACCCATACCCATGTGAGGGCTTTGAACTTCCGTGTCCATTCTTTCCAGGGATCCGGATCTTTCTAGAAAACCACCAACATTTCTTGGGAAATGGCTGGTTTTTGAAAAGAACGATGGCTGAAAGGCATGGAAAAGGAATCAACCACTAGAGAAAGGTCACCTTCTTGGCAAAGCCTAAAGCATGCTGAAGCCCTTTTGGTGGGATGATGCGGGGGTTGCGATGGCAAACCACCCCTCGCAGGATAGGGAGCTGCTACCCACATCAAGAACTGGGAGCTGCCTTTCCCAGATGCCATCAAAGAAGTGGCTACTGTTTCCCCCGCACTGGTCCCCTCTGACATGTTTGCATTCCCAGTGGCTGACTCGAATGGCTTTCTCCAGGTCCAAGAAGGAGGAGGCGCCAAGTGCCACGGAGATCCAAGCCAAACCTTCGGCTTTGGACTCAGAGTCTCCACCGTGCCGGAGGAAACCAAGATGACCCTGGTTCTTGTGCTGTGGGATTCTTGTGTCTTCCTCAGCAGGGCCCGCAAGGTTTCTCCTGTTGCTTTTGACATCTGAATTAACGCCTTTTGCCACCCGCGATAGAAGGCTAGCCGCACAACAGCCTGCCGATGTACCGGAAGGATCCAAGGTTTCAACCAGGATGTTCAGGCATTTCCTTGGAGTCTTTCAGTGGTTTTCTTGGTCACCTAACTCAGTCGCAACTGGCACTGGGCAGGGCGGACCCAAATGGACCCTGTGGCCAGTTGAGGTGGACATCCAGGTCACGTTCCTGGTAGCATACCTGCTATTTAGCAAGTATCCCAGGGAGCCACCATTTGAAGACTACAAGAACAATGACTGGCTACCTACCTTAAACTGGACTGGGGTTGGCATCAACGCGAGACGTTTTCGTGTCGCTGTACCTGTCCAATGCGCCAAGCATCATTGACTTCCAATGCAACATTTGCATCGGGCTGCCCGTTTTACTTCTAGCCCTGTCGCCAGTCCTGCGCAACCCCCCTTTTCCAACCGAGGAGGATAAACTGTGTCTCGGACAGTCACCAACCGAGGTGCATGTAGCAAAGTCGATTGATCACCCAGTGTTGGTTGTACGATCGCCGATGCGCCAAGTCCATCAACCCCATACCGCGATACTGTAGGGCTCGGGGGCCTCCGTATTGGGGCTTTCATGACAGGATGCATCCGTTTTGGGAGCGTTTGGCTTTGTAGGTTGCTCAACATGAAATGGAATTTGGCTTGATATTTGGCTAGTCCCCCGGTCGCATGCTCCAGCCATGTGTTCGTGGACAACACGTGCTTTTCTGAAAATGATCCTCTGTCATTGAAGAGAGCCCCAAGCTATGCCTTTCTGGGTCACGAAAAACAGGCAATGCCTCCCTTTGGATAGGAAACAAGCCCACTCAAGCAAGCAATCAAGCACGGAAAGTTATTTTTATGGGCTGCAAATTGCGGTACGGAGGGACACCGTTCAAGTAGACAGGTCATTGGGACGGCAATCTCACTTTGGTATCACAAGGGTCCTGTTTCACAACCACGCAACCAGGCAAATCAACACAGCCACCCCACCCCACTCCACCCCACCACCCCCACCCCAACCACCCCAACCACCCCAACCACCCCATCCACCCAACCACCCAACCAACCCACCCCACCCAACCACACCCCACCCCACCCCACCCCACCCCACCTCACCCCACCCCACCCCACTCCGCCCCGCCCCGAAAGGTCTCGCCTGCACAATTGGTTGAAGGGGAAAGTTGTGATCAAAACTCTACCTGTCCAACATATGACGTAATGTCAATTTAGGCAGGTAGCCGTGCAAAGTCAAATGCTTTTTGTGAACAGCGATTTGATGAGATAAGTGCCCCCTGTGACAACACGTGGGCAGAGGAGAGGTGTGATCAACAAAACACCTATCACGACGATGCGCTAGGACGGTGAGCTTTTGTGGTTGCCATTTGTCGCTTGAAAGACAAATTGGCGATTCAGCAAGGCGCGCCTTTTCACAGGGCACTTAGTTGATCACAGCTTTTTCCTCTCACTGCTTCTCTGTCTTGCATGGCGATTTGCAGTATGTACTCAAAAAGGTGCATGAAATGAATTCACCTTTTCTTGATCGCACCTTTCCTAACTTTCACGGAAGGAGTGCACACTTTGAGTGAATAAGCGAGAATCAGTGTAGTGTGAGAGGCAAGGCATGAGTAAGTAGGCACAATGTGAAAGACGAACCGCATTAGGTGGATGAAATCATGCTAGTGCTGAGCGACAAAATGCAGAATAAGAGGGCACTTGCTTGATTACACCCTTCCGCCCTTCTGCGCTCGCTCTCTCTCTCTCTCTCTCTCTCTCTCTCTCTCTCGCTCTCCCTCTTCCCTCACATCATCAATATGCATGCTCGGGCAAAGGGCAGTTTTGTCAAGGGCAGTCTTGTCTAGCATTACAACATCCCAACATTGTTCTCTTCTGAATTTACTGGTTCGGATATATTCTCCAGGAAGTTAAATTGGGGAGGTGTTGGGAATCTAGCCTAAGCTTGTTCAAGGGGGATTTAAGCATTTTTAAGGGTCATTTAAGCCTTTAGGGAAATCTAAGCTGCTCCTCTTCTTTTTACTGTCCGCTTTTGGACTACATCACTTGCGCTTGGCTTTCTTTGGTGGCTGCTCCTTTGGAGTTCCCGAAGAATCTCTTGCGCACGAAAATAGCGCGGCGGCTTGACATCACTGGTGTCCAAACCTGAGTTGGACTGCAACCACAAGGTTTGCCACTTCAGCAAGTTGTTGAGCTCATAGAACAGAAGTAATCTGTATACATTCACTGACGCACTCAACATGATTTGCTACTGTTGGTCTAGTTGCACACTTTTTCCTTGCTGCTGATGATGACTGCGCCGCTGCAGGTTCAGCTTCTTCTCTCTCTGTTGGCTTGGCTGCTGCTTTCCGTTTTGATGTTGCTTTGACCTGAGCTTTTGCTGCCGCCTTTGCACTTTGGGATTGCTCAACTGCTTTTTGGTTTGAGTCTGTGGACAGGCTGGTGATGCTGATGTCACTTGTGGCAAGGCTGTTTCTTCTTCTGCTTCTTCTTCTTTGCGTCGGAGCTGCCGCTATTGCTGTTCATGCTCTGTTTTGATGCCCTCATGTTTATGATGGTTGCCTCCTCTGTTAGCATAGCCACATGGTCTTCAGGGTTGGTCTGGCAACGATCCAGCGCCTTCTGTGTCTCCTCTTTCGTTGGCCGACCTGATATGTGTGCTTCTCACTGCATGGCTGGAAACTCCCCCTCGCCCCGCCCCGCCCCGCCCCACCACACCCCACCCCACCTCACCCCGCCCCACCCCACCCCACGCCCCACTCCGCCCCGCCCGCCCTGCCCCGCCCCGCCCCACCCCACCCCCACCCCACCGCACCCCTCCGCCCCCCCAACCACCCCTTCGGCTGAGGCCGAGTTCCCGCCGCCGCCGCCCAACCAGCCGCTCTTCACGCCGGACCCGGCCATAGCAAGCCTGGCGCCAGGTGGGGTGCGGGGGTCAAGGCACCTGGCTGGACGGGTCCCCGTGGCTCATGCAAGCTGAAAAAAACACATTCGAGGTTAGAAGGGACGGCGGCTGTTGTTAGATGTTTTTGGCAAACCTTTCACCCTTCAGATCTCTTATCTATGTGGTTGGTTCACATGGAATCAACCAACAAGAAATGGACTTGGGTCAGGGAACATGTGACCTGCTGGACATCTCGTTGGACGATTTTGAAAGTGACCTTACAGTAAACCAGCCAAAAAAATAAAGAAGGGAAGGGGTCCCTTCTGTGGACACACATCTTGGTCTGGATGCATTGCCTGTTTTTGAAAATGGCCAGCTGGGTGGCTGGATCGGCTGGCCAGCGGCTGTGGGTCCCTCCCTCCCGCAGGTCTGCCTGGAGCTTCGAGCACCTTGGCCTAGTATCTAATGTTGGCAGCTTCTTAGATTCTAGGGATTGGCGGGGTCAACAGATACTGGCCTCAGAAAGAAGTGTGCACGTACACATATATATATATATATGATTTATATATATGATATATAAATATACAATATATATATATAATTACATCACATACACACACACACACTATATACGAATACTTTCCTGCAAATTAACGTTGAACCAACAATTAGATCTGTTTATGTCACGTTAATCTGCAGAGCATGAGCAGTGTTGCTGTGAAAACTACATTGACCTGGGGGTGGTGCAGCTGAAAGTTATGTTTTAGAGAAAGCCCCTTAGGCACCCCTTTCTGTGAGCAACCCTTTGCTGGAAGTGAGGGAGGGTTCATCACGGTTTCGGATCCATCGCCTCTTGCGGGTTGAAATGAAGGGTCCGCACATGTACATATTGCCTCAGGAGCAGAAGTGTCTTTTAACCACGCCTTCAAATCCTGTTTTTAGGCAGCCCCCATCGGTGCCGCCGCTAAACGACAGCTGTTGAATGCATTGCAGAATTGCTTGCGTGACATGTCTAAAGGAACCAAAGCTGGCTGACATGTGTTCCTGGAGTGATGTGTGCACCAAGTGTTTGCAGAGGAGTTCTCCAATGATTTCATTCCATACTCAGTTTCCGGCAGGCCATGCAACAGGCTTCTACAATTGACCAAGATGGCCGTGTACATCTGCGAGTAGCGCGGTGCCATCCAGCAAAAGAAAACAGCACATCATGGCCTAAGCAACGGGCAGGCAAAGGTGATGCGTGGTTGTGAAGCACACCGACCTGCAGAATCCGTTAGGTGGAATTAGGTTGTTTTTCAATCACGGGTTTGCGGTTTTCACATTCGTTGTCTACCTGGCCGTGTGGATCCTGGTGAAGTTGGGGCAAGCTGATTGCTCTGACGAGTAGCCTTATATCTTGAAAGAGCCGCCCGTTTTCACACCAACAATGCAGCCAGAGTGGGGGATGACATCTCGCTTGCAAGCGACAGCCCCACCAGTCCTCCAGAGTTGCTCACAGAGCCTGTGCCGGTCGGGAATGCCGGTGATGACCCTGCTCTTCTTGACCTTGGCTCTGCGGGCCACACTGCGCGGGCAGTTGAAGCACGTGCAGTCACGCTTGATCATGGTCAAAACCCGACTCTTTGGGCGGCTTCATCGTCAAGTCTGCAGCACGAGACATTTTGCTTGGCTCATCAGGTTGCCCGCTTTCAAGGCTAGTTAACGTGGGAGAAGGAGGTGGGCAGTGCAGCTTCAAGGAGCCCGAGGTTCTTGTTGACCAATCGGCCCTCGCCCTCTTTGTTTGTTCGTGACTTCTTCACATTTCACAACCTTTAGGCGGCGTCAAGATAAGCTGTTTATCTCTATTTCTATCCTATGCACTCCACACCTCTCCAAGGGGATTTCCCCCGAAGAAAACAAAGCCACATGGCCATGGGGCATAACTTATGGCTGCATGTTGGGGTGGATGAACCTCCATTTGCCAGCTATTTTGATGTTTAGCAGGACGTTTCCTGCGTGTTGACCCGCAGCCACCTCTATTTCTATCCTATGCCCTCAAGGATTTTTCCCCAAAAAACAAGCCACTTGTTGCTCAGGCCTCACGGGGGGCGGTATTTGGAGCCTGGAGGTTTCCCTCAAGCTCCGGTTTTTGGGACCTGGGCCATCCGAGGCAGTGCGGGCGATGAGCCGGCGCCGACGCTGGGTGGCAGAGGTTGTGGGTGGCTTTTGGGTGGCTTTTGGGTGGCTTTTGGGTGGTTGTGGGGTGGCTTTTGGGTGGATTTTGGGGTTAACTGTGTGTTTCTTCTTTTTGTTGTGTGTGTGTGTGTGTGTGTTTTTTTGGCTTTTCGGTTTTGAAGTTTGGCGTGTTCCTTGGCAACAGGGGGACCGGAACCTGCAAGGTTTTAGGGTGCGTTGGGCAGGACAACAGGGATGACCCCTGGCGCCGTATCGCCTTTTGGGTGTTTTTGTGTTTCTCGTTGCTCACTTTGGATTTCACACCTTTTTCAGATTGATCATCAAGTTGGTTCTGGCTTTAGTGAGGGGTTGGTAGCCCACAGTTGACCATGCCCGATCTCGTCAGGTGGGTATGGGTCAAAATTAAACCACCAGAAAAACCGCAAGTTTTGGTCCACGTTTCCACTTACCAGGGCCATTTGGGGTACCTATGTTTGACCCACAGTCATTTGTTGCACGCCTGGCTGAGGAGCTCGAACCCTTTCGCTGGCATCACGGGCAAGCCAGAACCAAAGAAGCCAGAGGCAAAGCCGGCGGCAAAGAAGGCGAAGCAGGAAGAAACAGGCTGGATGGGGGAACCTGCAAAGCGGCGAAATCAGGGAAGCCCGGGTAAATCAGAACGTGCCGGCTCTTCTTGGTTGCCCGTTGGTTACACCGGCGGATACAGTTTCCCCCACATCTTGCAGACCGACCTGCTGCAAAGTACCTAGCTGGCGGTGTTTTATGGCTTGCTTCCTCTTTGGGTTTTCATATTAGCTTCTTGTTTTTTGGATTCCCCTCTTTGGATTTCCCCTGGACTTCCTTCTGAGGTCTTTTGAGGCGGGCTGAGGGGTTCTCGTTTTGGATTCGTCCATCTCGAGGGTTCCATCTCTTGTTGCCTCTCCAGATATCCCTCCCGGATATCTCTGGAGTCATCCTTTGGATTTGATTTGGCTGACACAGACTAACGTGGAAGCTCCCAGAAGGCCTCTGTAAATGTAAGTCTTCCAAAGGGGTCCGTTCGGGAGCTTCCATGTTAGTCTGGGGGAGGGTAGAGAAAACAAATTGGGGACCTCCAACCCGCAACCCCCTCCAGATTTCAACAAAGGCTTCCTCCATGCGTGTCCAGGTTAAGAGTAAGACTAGAGAAAACCAATTAGGGACCCCCAACACCCCTCCAGATTTCAGCAGAGAGATGCTGGCCAGGCGAGGCGGAGGGCCCCGTGAAGGTCGACACCAAGGACCAAAAATGGGTTGAAAGGGAGTGGAGCGCTCACAAAGGCGTACCTGGCAGACTTTCCCAAAAAACCTAAGATGGCGGTTTCCTGTTCCTTTTTTTGGGGGGATTTGGGGGGGGGGGGTTCCCCTATGATTCTAGGGGTTGATTCCTTGTTCTTTTAAAAACCGGATCTGTTTCCCAACTGGGTCTTTGATGGTTTCCTGAAAAAAAGATTCGGATCCCTGGAAAGAATGGGGAAGGTACCCCTAGAATCGTCGCTTTTTGTGCATGGTGTCCCTTTGGTGTCCCCTTTGGTTTCAACGAACGCAGAACCCCAAATACATGGCATGTTTGGAAGATCCTTATTTTGAAGAGCCCCTCGCTCGGTTCCCCATGACTGTGCAGGAGAGCAATGATTACGTATGATTACGTGAGCCTAGCATGGAACCTGGCTAAAAGGAGGTCCTTGGAATTTGGAAGACTGCTTCGCTCTTCAAGAGGCCTTTTGGTGGGATCCATGTTGAGGACCCACACATGCAACCTCTGAAAAATCAAAGGGACCATTCAAATCCAAGGAAACCTTATAACATGGGTACTTTCCACTTGAGCCTCCCTGGCTTGCACTGTCCTCTTGACAGACAAAAACTTGCTGTGTTTTCAGGTTTCCGTTGTGAAAAGATGTTGTGGGCAAGAAGTTCTTTGTTATTTCGTTGCTTCGTAGGCGGGGCAAGCCCAGCACATAACATTCGTAACAATTTGTTAGCTCCAGCGCGACGAGTATGAGCATGTGCAAGGAGTCAAGGCCTTCCAGGCAGAGGCGATCATTCATTTAGAAGGCTCCTCCTTGCTCAGCTGAGGTTGCTCGGGGCAATCAAGGTTCACAACCGAATGGCCTCCAAGCCACACCTTGAGGGCATATTACGCTTGTCAAGAAGATATGATATGGTCTTTTAAAGCCGTCAGATGCTGCGAAAGGAGATGCCCCATTGTTTGGACCATAGGCCTCCATACATGTAGAAAGGTGGCCACGCCTGGGTGCGAAAGTTCGGAACAGTTGAGAAGCAGCTCGAAGGAAGTCAAAAGGGAATTGCTTCAGTCAGCAGCAGTCAATAGCCTTTTCCAAGCAGCAATAGCCTCTCAATGGAAGAGGCATCGAATCCTGCTTCAAATTGAATGGAAAAGGGCTGAGTTGGGGGACCTTGCGAGAAGCAGTGGTGGCATCGTGGGTGTTGTAACTTTCCCCCAAACAGGCGCCCAATTTGGAACTTGCAAAATGCCAAGAGGCTAGGTCATGGGCGATCCAACATGAGTGTGTGAACGGCTTTCTGGCGCTTTCCATCCTTAAGGGGGTAGCTCAGGAGGTACTACGGCATTTTCAAAAAGCACCAGTGACGCACGGCTGATGGGACATTGTGTTAGGAGGATTTGTGGCGCGTGCAGATTGAGGCCATCTACCGCAAAAGGACAGGGTGGAATGGGCAAGGGGCCCTTCGAGCATGCTGCAAATCAAAAGGTTGCAGAAATGGAGTGTCCGTGCCCCCTCAAGCCACATATGGGAGTGCTTTGGCAAGGACACGGCCCAAAAAGTCAAGCTTGCGCGGATGCTACAGTTACAGGGCCATGGTCATCCGTCTCGGCCACAATTGGCCCGGTGAACGTGCCTGAAGTGTTTATCCCCCTTGCTTCCAGGGCGTTTTCGGACAGTCATGCGCATGATCAGTTGTGCAGATTCATAGTGTGACACCATGTTGTACCGGCATCAGGGTTGGTCTTTTATGCTACTGCATGCCCACTGTCCTGCTGGCATCAAGGTTAAATTTGTGGGACTTGCGGCTTCGGACAATTGGTTGATGGCGTGCTGCGCTTAGGGACTTAGGGCCCCTCAGGGTACTTCACATAGAAGGTGGTGCAATATTTGACCCACGGCCAGTACTTAATCCCGACAGCATCCTACGGCATGCAGCTGGTTGTGTTGTCATCAAACGAGCTCTCGAACCATACGGCCAGTAATTAATAGTTTGGCACTGGTCGTGCATGAATCCAATTTGCTGTTGTAAGATGCGGGTGAAGATACAAGCACTGGCCTTTGTGGTCGCTGTACGCCGGGATTCCTTGAACATTCACCTAAATCACCTAAATGAATCCCAATTTGTGCAGAATCGTAGACCCCTAGGGGGGCTATGCGGGGAGGGGCTACCCCGTATAACCCCTTAACAAGGCCTTCAGCGCTTTTCCAGACATGGCCTCCCCCATAGCCCTCCCCTAGAAATTCCATGACAGCCTGGCCTCCCTTCCGCGAGGAACCCGATGAAGCTGCGCCTCGCCGGAAATCAGAAAGCGCGGGAGGGTGGCCCTAGACAAGGCGGCGGATTCGATGAGGGGCGCCAGAGAGAGAGAGAGAGAGAGAGAGAGAGAGAGAGAGAGAGCGAGAGAGAGAGAGAGAGAGAGAAGACACGAAATAAAGGGAGGGGAGGGAGGGAGGGAGGGAGGGAGGGAGGGAGGGAGGGAGGGAGGGAGGGAGGGGGGGGGTGGGGGGGAGGGAGAGAGAGACAGAGAGAGAGAGAGAGAGAGCGGCATTCACGGCCGAAGAGCAGTTCTAGCACTTGTTTGGTTGCTTGCGGAGCAGAAGTCCAACGGTTGGGGCAGGCAGGCAACCATCAAGGTTAACAAAGGGCTCTTCCACTGAACTTTTGGGTGTGAGTCAGTCGATTTGATTTTGTGGGTTTATGCCCCTGCGCTATTGCACCTGGAGGTGGTCTTTCCTACCGGAGCCTGCTGGCTTGCCTGTGCCCGTAACACAGTTCCAAGACCGGCGCGCACTCTATCCCTTAAGGAAAGAAGTGCCGCAGCTCATGGAGAAGCACAAGGGCAAGGAGGTGATCCTCTTCAAGAAGGCCTTCCCGTCTTCGGCTCGCCAACCCTCAGATTGCCTTTTGCTTAAGAAAATATGTGTTATTGGTTTTCCCTAGTTGGCTTTAAAAGGAATTTATCACTACCGTTTTTTTTTGGGGGGGGGTCTTAACCAAACGGAAGCAGGTGTTTGCCGTTTGTTCCCCTTGGGATCAGCGGATGCCGGGCCTGGTCTGAATATCGTTGGCCACCCGGCGGCGGCCGATGACAGCCTTGGGAGGAATTTCATTTGTAAGGGCAAGCCTAGGGGGAGGTTTGCGTCCGTATTTGAGAGAGACGGCTAGTGTGGCTGGGGTGCCAAAATTCAAGGCAGAGCAAATGCTGAATTCACACATGTTGAGGGAAGCAAGCTTTGCACGCTTACCAACCCTGCAGGTGTGCAAGAGATACGACCTGGACCCCACCAAGATCTACACCAATGATGATGCTTGGGCAGGCAGAGTGACCAGGGATACAATGGGACAGTGTGTTGGGGGCCACTGGTTTAAGCACGCTGCTGCCTCAGCTTCCGTTGCACTGCGCCCCACCTGCGACGATGAAAGCCATGACTGAGGCGAGTTCAATCAAATAACCCAAGGATTGACTCAAAGCAACGGAGACACACGCCCAACTAGAGAGACATAGTGGCCAGTGCCATGTGGCTGTGGTTTGTGTTTATTACCCGCCAAAAAACTCCGCGACAGCCTGCAAGCATGGCCCAGTTTCCGCGCAACAAAGACAGAACCGCTGGTGTTCAGAGACCCAAGGCTTTTTGGTGCTCCTGTGCGAGGGATGGACCTCCCACACAGTCCCTTCTGCAACGGAATGCAGTAAACACAGTGTGAAGTTCTGTCTTGAAGGGTTGGCTGAGCTGGCGTCATGGCAAAGTGCAAGTTATGCCTTGCTTTCCAGACGCTTCCCGGTTCAAACAATGTTTCCGCACAGGCCATTTTTGTTGTTTTGCTCAAGGAAAGCCAGCAACTTCTTCATGGACGTTGCACACAACAAGGGAAGAGAAGCCTGCGCCCAGCTTTGGGTTGGCATCTATTTGCACACGCGACGCCTCGGTTCCTCGGTTAGGGTCATTGCTTTGACGCGCGCGCGCGCGCGCGCCTGTGTGGCCCTGCTGGGAGGTGAGGACAAGGAGTTCAAGGACGACCCCGAGGAGCCCGAGGCGGAAGCAGCCCAGACAGGCGAAGTGCGGAAGAGTCGGACACGCTCAAAATGAAACAGCTGGGGATACGCAGCGTTTTAGTCTATCATTATATTTGCTAGGGTTCCGTTTTTGGACCCCATGTTTGAGCCACACCCACGAGCCAGGGATTCAAGGCCGCAGCTCGAGTTTCCATCGGTTTCACCTTTTGACCAGCCAAGGACGTTAAGTTTGTGGAGGGGTCTAAAGTTTGGCGGCATTGGTTTTGGCATCAGGGGCTCAATGTCAAAGGGTGCAAAAGTCGGACTTTGCTCCGCTTGTTGTTCAATTTGTGGAATGTGGAAACCATAATCGCCAGTCCGCTCCATCATTTCCTTTCTTTCCCTCGCGTGGCGCATCGGGCCACAACAAAGAGAGCCTTGATTGGTGAAGCCCTGCAACCTCCAAACCTCCAATCCAAGCCATTAATGGAGGGGAATTCAGCTGACTGCTTAATCGGTACCCTGAGGGAGACGAGCTGCACGCCTTTTGGCTCTTGGGAGGTAGCCTTGTGTCGAAGCTTCAGCGACTGTTTGTTGATTTTTCGAAGTTGTCCTTTTGCCAGACTTAGTTGGGTCCATACTTGAACAAGCAAAAAGCAAGCACAAAAGCAAGCACGCCATCACATTGTGTTTCATTTTGTGTGTGTGTGTGTGTTTTGTGTGTGTGTGTTTGGAGAGAGGGGTGGAAACGGAATTTCGATGGGTCAAATATGGGAAGAAGGGGGCTGGGCCAAACCTTATTGGCCCCTTTGAACGCTTTGCTCGAATCCTATGATTCAAGCCACAGGCGTAGTTCAGCTTTTCTTGTGGAATGACTGATGAAGTGATGAAGCAAAACTGTTTGCAGTTCACGAGCGGCTTTCGAGATGCATATTTTGTGCACAAGTTGGCTTCGATTGGCTAGAAAGAGGCACCCATGCCTGGAAGACGCCTTTTTCACTTCCCATTCGTTTGGCAGGTTGATGGGTTTCGGTCTGGGGCGGCCGTCTATTAATTGGTTTGTTGTGGGAGTACTGTGGATGGACGAAATCCATTTCGCACCACTTGGAAACCATGGGAAACCATTATTTGTTGGTATTTACAGAGGAATCATGGTTGTCGTTGGGAAACATTTTACATGTTTGCTTATTGTGGTTTAGTGGGAAATCCCCACTTAACTGCTAACATTAAAATGTTTGCTCCCCTTCCAACGGGATTTCGTCCACGGTATTGTCAGCTTCTCACATCACAAGTTCAAGCAGAGCCCCCTCGGTGCTTGCCAGGAGCAGTCAGCGTGCCCTCCCTCTTCGGCAACACGGGAGGCATGGCTTCTTTGCTGGCTGGGTTTGTGATGTAAACCTCAAACTGGAGGCCAAGCGAATGCCGCAAATGCCGCACATTTATCAAGCCATCCCTTAACCCTCTCCCTAACCCCTGCTGGAAGCCACTGAAATATGTAACCTCCCACAGACCTTCGATCAACCCGGCCCAGCTTAGCTCATCCCGCAACAACCTGAACCAAGACTAAGCCCTCGCTAGATCAATCCAAATGCCGTCCGGCCACCTAAAGCTCAGCCTATGACCAATCACCCAGCCTTGGCCCGCCCCAAATCCATGCAAAGCCCTCAATGAACCCCACCCACCCCCAACATGAGCACAACATTGTCCACCATGTTCCTTTTTGCCTGGCAATTAAATCTAGCCAAGTCTTCGCGTGCCGGCAGCTTTCGATGTCAGCTGCACCCTTTACCTCGATCAGGCATCTGAGCCACACACAGCCAAAACCCGGTAGCAAAGGACAGTCCTAGCAAGAAACAAACAGGTTCAGCCGGCCATGATTTCTAGCGCGGATAATCCCCTGTAACGCTTGCGAGCTCGGCGGTGAAGCAGGCATACTACCACTATTTACTTCCAGGTTAGTTCTCACTCATCTCACTTTCAGGGGGCAGTGGTAGTCCTGTCCGCGGATGGCTCCAGGAGCCTCTCTCTTTGGCTCCGCCACGAGCTCCGGCTCGCTCTTCGGCTCGGGCTCCGGCGGGTCCATCTTTGGAAGCATCGGCGGCACTGGTCGCATGGATCGAGCCCTCTCTGGGCTGAAAATGGCTGTGGGTCAAAAGTCAAAACCCATGGGATCCCATTTTGGGGTAGGTGCACCACCCATTTTAGAACCTGTTTCAGTGGGGATTGGGATGGGGGTACGGGATTTTGACCCATGGCCAAATCAGTGCTGAATCCTTCCAGGTCCCACAGATGCAGGATCAATCCTACCGGATGGTCACAGATTACAAAGGATTAACTCTCCGATCGTTTGGCTACATAGTTTTAGGTAACCCCTAGTTGGTGGTTTGGGGATTTGAACCCCTGGTGTTTGTAGGGGTAAGTGACTTATGTGGGGAACCATCTAACCAACAAGCCGCCGGGCTCCCAACCACTGGCTCCAAACCACCACCTGAGATAAAGCTGAGAATTTTCGCCTCGGCCCAGGAAACGCCAGCAGTGCCACCTCCCTTTTCGGCTCTTCCAGCTCCGCGGCGAGCTCTGGAGGCGGAAGCGCCCTCTTCGGAGCACCAACCGCACCAGCGAGTGGACGCTTGTCAACGTGACGTGTGTCCAGGAGGTATGGCGTTTTTGTTATTTTGCATGCAGTTCAGTTGAATTTGGCGCATTTGTTCGCTCACCATGGTGTATTTGTTTGGGTTTGTGGCAGGTCTTATCCGGGGACACACGGAGACATCTATACAACACGTGTTTCCTCCCCTTTCCTTGCTGCCTTCCTGGCTTTCTTCTCCGGCCAGGCAGGAGTTGTTTTTTCTCCGGTGCCATTCAGAGAAAGCTGACGGGGTTGAACCCGTGTTCGTATTGAGCCTTCGAACTTGTGGAGGGACGCTTGGCTTTTTTCTACCTTTGTCCCCCCCCCCCCAAAAAAAAAAAGGGCCAACAGGCATGGAAGAGTGACATTGTGACTGGCTCTCGGGTTTCAGCACGCAGTGCGAGAGGGGCACCATTTGCTTTGACCAACTCGGTAAGCTGTTTATGAAGAACTTGCTGGTGCTCAGTCGGAAATGAGGGAATAAACCCAGAGGTCCCCTTACAAGATCACCAGTTGGATGGTTTATAGGGCTCATTCCCTGCTGAGCACCAGCAAGATCATTGTTGAAGTCCCTAGGAGTTTCCCTGCAGACACCTCACCGGCACTGCGCCCATCTGCGCCCAGGATCTCTCTTCGGGTCCGGGTCCGGGTCCGGGTCCGGCGGCTCCATCTTCGGTCCGAGCTCCGGCTCCATCTTCGGCGCGAGCTCCAGCTCCGTTGGGAAGCCCAGGGCTGTTTGTATTTGGGAGGTGGGGGTAGAGACCCGGGGAACGGCCAACCTCCTGTTTGAATGTCTCTCTTTGTTGTTGGGACAATATGCATCTGGTTTCGGAAATCAGATGGATATTGCCCCAACAACAGCGAGTCTGACACGTGTCGAGGAAGGGCGAGGCTTAGCCCTCATTTGAGCTGACTAGCGGATCAGCTTGTAATGCTGCGCTACCTAGGTTGATAACTCGGGTCATGGCTAGCCCTGGAAGCCACCAGATTTTGGAAGATCCCAGTTCAAGTCTTTTAGGACCTATGGAATGGACAACTGCTCTACATCCCCACCCCCTCAAAAACGGACTTGGGGGATGGGGGTGACCCCTGGAGGTCTCCATTTGTGGTTCCATTTTCCCTTTTATGGGGAAGACTAGATACATGGAATCGGGGACCCCCCTTCCCCGTAGGGGGGATATCTCTGCCATTCTGGAGATCAGCGCGTAGCCACTCGTTGAAGCCACTTGGCCAGTTGCAAGTGTCATTCGGAAGTCTCGGGCGTTGCCCCTCGGCCCTCGCCGGTGGCCGTGACCTTCAATCTCAGCGATCTGAGGAGAATCTGGGCATAGCCCTAATTTCAGGGTGAAACGAGCTCACCCATGATCCTTTGCCGCTCGATGTCCTTCTGCTTGCCTTGAGCAGTTTGCCCAGAAACAACACAGATGGACCGCCAGAGAACCAATGCCCTGGCACATCCAAGGGCAACCTCTTTGGCAGCACCGCCTCCCAGAGCCCTGAGGGAGGCAGAAAAGGGATGCGAAGCGTCGGGTCGGCTTCGCCCCGAAAGAGCCTCGCGCAGAGGGATTTCTTTACTTTCCGGAGTAACATAGAATCCGAGAAGCCACGAGAGGATTTGTGTTGTTTGGGGAAATGGAGGCCTTCTCGGATTCTATGTGAATTTGCAGAGTCGGAACTTTGAGAAGCGTCCATAATTGTTTGGCACTGTTTTCGAAACAGAGCGAGCAACAAACATACCAGCCATTTGTGGGCCCTTTTCGACACAAAGCCGTTGGGGCGCCGAGATCTTGACGAAAACAGCGCTGTCTAAGTATTCAACTCAGAATGCCTTCCAAGTGCTTCTAAGCTTGGTGTACTCGTAGGGCGTTTGGATTGACCCGCAGAGATTGTTGGATTGTATTTGAGGCATTTCCTGGGCCCTCCACCAGGCGCCCACCCTGTTTTTCCTCGAGCTCAATCCTTGTTGATTTGGAGCCCCTGAGCACGATCTCAATTCTTATGCAAGAACCCATGTTTGACGCTCGGCTCCTGTGCAGGCAACATCTTTGCAGGCGGTGGCGGCAATTTGTTTGGCTCAGGCGGGGCGGGGGGTGTTCATGAGATAAGACGGTGCGCTCGCAAGACATGAAGAGTCATTGGCTTGATTTTGGTTGGGGGGTTCTTTGGTGCGTTTTGGTGTTTTGACAACCTGAGGAACCCTTAAGCTGATCTTTTTGACCAAACGCAAACAAGCCAAAACACGCTGAGCCTCTTGTCCCATAGTAGAAACACCCAGAAGAGCTCCTGCTGCCTGTTTGCGGTGCAGGCTTGTGACTTTGTGAGGAATCATGGGGCACACATCTAGGCAGAAGTCAAGTTACCAGTTCGGAGGCGACTGAGGTAAAACAAGGGGGCCACTGAGGCATTGTGTCTTTTTTGGCATCATTTTGCACTTTTGGGTTGCCTTCATTTTCTCAACGGGGACGTGTTTTGGGAAATGAACCTGTCCGCCCTTTCTTGCGAGCAACTCTGAACCAGGACGCAGTTTTTTGGAGGTTCTTCTTTGTCACCTCCAGTCCATGCCCCGCGGACTCTGCAAGTCTACCGACACATGTGCCCCTCTCACACTCCTGTGTGGTCCATCACAACAGCAACCTTTGCGCTTGTAGTGTTCGTTTGCGGCAGCAAACTGTTTTCACCCGCCCACCCGCCCCAATGGTCAGTTGACTTGCTTGTATCAGTGCCCAGGAGCACTGTGCTGTCAGGGTTGAGGGTGCGCCGGGCTTGGGGACAGCCCGTGTACTGGTCGCCAGCGGCAAACAGGGGTGAACTACTTGCGCAGGGCTGCTGGCTGTTGTGATGGCTGTGGGTCAAAAATAGGTACCCCAAATGGAACCTGGGTAAGTGGAAACATGGACCAATTCCTGCGGTTTTCTGGTGGTTTAATTCTGACCCATACCCACATTGACATTTGCATATGGGAAGCAAACTCTTAGGTTTTGAGAGCTGTCTCCTGCCAGGTGGCAACCTTTTCGGCTCCCCCAGCTCAGGCGGGATGGTCGGGTCCGAAGAGGTTGGCATCGCAGGGATGTGGCTAAACCACAGTGATTCCATTTCCTTGTGTAGTAGGTAACCAAGGAAGTTGGCTCCCTGAAACCAGGCCAATGCCTGGTTTCCTAGCATCGCGACCAGTGACTCGGATCTCCACACTGTTTCTTCAGAATCTCTCCGGTACGTACTCTTTTGGCAGTTGGTTTGATGCCCAGAACCAATGGACGTGCGAAGAAACCGACACTGCAAAGTACCCTGGAAGGTACCTCTCCAAAGCCGCTGAGCAACCGCAGCAACCGCATTGTATTTATCGCTTAAGACACTGGCCCGGTGCATGTTCTTGGTCTGGAAATTTGAAACATGCTTGCTCCAGTTGGCTGGTAACCCGAAGAGCAGGCTTTGGAAGTTGTCGTCTTTGCCATTCGAGCGCAAATTGTTTGTTCTGACTGAGCAAGCAAATCTTCAGGATGCGGACAACTTGTACTTACCATGGACTATTGCTTAAATATGTTTGCTCAAAGGAAGAGATACGTGCCCCGAAGGACTCAATATTTTTTTCACTTATGCACGTAGGTATACATTTTGATATAGATTCGCCTTCAGATACTGTGTGTAGGTTAATCCCAGGTTACTTACGTACAAAGGAGAGTATCATTGAGCCGTTCGCTGCGGGCAAACAGGGGTAGTTTGTTCCCTTCATTCGAAATCACTCAAGCACTGCTCCCACATGCCTTTGACCCGATCGAGGATCCTCAAGTATCCCGTGCGATTGATTTAGACCATTCGCAAGGAGTTTGCTTTGGTCACAGGAGTCCTTTGCGCGTTGCGCGATTCCTTGCTCAGGTGGCTTTGGGGCCGGATTTGGCACCTTGGAACGAACGCATGCGGATTCCTGCCCTGAAGTAGCTCCAGCTCAGTGGCACCTGGTTGCCCCCTCTTTTTGTGGGTTCGTTTGCTTTTTCGCCCATGAAAGTGCAGGGGTTTGGCCACATCCCTCAGGCGACGTGCTGCAGTGAGCTTGGAGACATGATGGTTCGTCCTCTACAATACACACCCGCGCCACAAAAGATGCAAGTTGTTCGGGTCCCGGGGTGCGCACCGCTCAGGGGAGGAGCTTAGACCACGAGTGCAATTGGAACAAGTCCAGTAAAGTCATGGGTTCGCTTTTTTTGCACCCGGCTCGCTGGGCGACTGGGTAGCCTGCAGCTTATCTCCCTACTATCCTGCATAACCCCGGACACTGAAAGGGGGGGCGTTTTTGGCATACCTTTTTTTTTTGGACCGAGCGGCCGCTGCAATCACACTAGTCCGCTGTTGTTTTTGGCATACCCCCCCACCCCCAAACCCATATGCCAAAACCCCCCGACCCCCAAACCCGACGTCGTCTTCGGATGTTTGGGAGACAGGGGCAGCCCTAAGGTGCTGCCGCACCCAGCTCAGGCGCATCAGGCGAGGGGGCGAGGGGGTCCGTTTCCGGCTGCGCGGGTGGAAGGGTGCGGGGAGACGTTTTCTGGAGGGAGACCAGGTGGAAGAGACCAGGGGCCAGGCCTTCCAACGGGTTTCGGAGCAGATCCATTTCTTATGGGAAGACCTGAGGTAGACTTGGGATACATTTTAGCTTTTGACCAGTGACTCAAGGTGAAGCAAACAATCTGGGCCTAACTCTAATCATGGGACTTGGAGTGGCCCAAGGCTCACAGAAAGTGCCAGAAGCGCGAGCTCAGAAACGATTCTGCCAAATTCAAGAGGTAGCAAGCGCGAAAATTTGCGGTTTCATACCAAGTTGCTCACGATGCCACGCTTAAAGGGTTCCCAGGACAGCATCTAGATCACCGGAAGCCCGTTCTTGGGCCGGCTGGCCTCTGTAACACCTGCTCTGCCGACTCTCATGTAGTCGCCAAAGACTTCTTGGCAACCGGATGCGCGCGAAGACACAAGTCGCAGATTCGACATGAAACAGGAGCTGGTTCTACTATCCCGTCCCATTGACCTTTTTTTTTCCCGGGCCTCGTGCCTCCCATTTGATGGAACCCATTTTTTCTGTTTGTTCGCCTCCCGCTGAACGCTGAAAGCAGCCAACCTCCAAAAGGGCTTCCCTTTTTCCCGGGCGAGGCTGGCAGGTTCCCGGCCCTGCGCAATACTCAGGCAGCATCTTCTGTGGCGGCTCGTCTGGTTCCTCGCCCTTTGGAGGCCAAGCGCGGCTTTGAGTCCTCCAACTGGTCGCATATATCCAGGGGCTCTCATAGCGACGTTTTTGGGGCGTGGCTCGCCTGCAAACAATCCTAGGTCCCCCAGTAGTGCCCTTTTGCTCTCATTTTTTTTTGGGGGGGGAGGGGGGGGGGTAAAATAGGCTACAGAAAAAGGGTACCCTTATTCTAACCTCTCTACTGGAGGCCCTAGAATCATTTAGAGCGCAACTGTGAGGATGTCACATGATGTCACTGTAATGGACTTGTTGCGGATCAATCATCTCTTGGCCGCAAAGGAAATGACAAGTCTTCAGGTTCCCTTTTTGCCATGTTTACCTCCCTGGTGCTGAAGAGCATGTTGCCCATTGTGTTCTGTTGCTAACTTTGTTTCCTGTGTGTTTCTTGGTGGGCCCCTAACCTTACGCCACAACAGTCATCCCATGTCAATTCGTTTTGACAGGTCTTCCTGGAATCAGACCCGCTTTTCAAAGGGCAACCCCAAACCAACTGTTCCGAGGAAGTTCCCGGTGTACGAAATGCCCAACAGGATGCCATGCAGCCATAGAGGACTCTTCCCAAGAAGGCAGCTTTCGGACCTCGGGTATTAGTTTGGACGTTTGCAGAAATACATTTGTCTTGCCTCAAATGCTGGTTGTACTCATCCATGCAATGGCCATTTGGGCCCGCCTCAGGTCCCACGGTCAATGAACCTACCAGGGACAGAGATTCATAGGGTACATATGCTAGATATGGCTTCTACAGGCTTCCATTTGCTTAAGTTGTTTTTTGTTTTTAATCCCTTGTTGGTTTTAACAGGAATTTATCACTACTGGAAGTAAGTTATCTATTTTCCGGGGGTCTTAACCAAATGGAAGCAGGTTTTCGCGAAAGTTCGCTGGGCAGACCTTTTCAGACCATTTCAGGTTGTGAGGTGGAGAGGGCCATTTTCGGGCACTTTGTTCGCCTTAGGAACTCTGCAAATGTCCATGCATACAAAACAAATATATTACAGTGTCTATTTTTGTTCATATCTGCCTGATAGCCGAAGAAGACGGTCAACATGTCAGATGCAGCGATCCAATGGAGACGCCCCCTGGCGTTTCGGGCAGGCGGCGAATCTGCCTCCCTCTTCGGCAGTGGAAGCAGCATGGCGCTCAGCCGTCGGCAAAAGCAGGGAGGGCTCATGAAGAAAGAGTCCTGCGGTTGCTTCATTGGGCAGGGTTGATGGGATGTGTGGCTGGCAGGCTGGCTGGCTGGCTGGCTGGCAGGCAGGCAGGCAGGCTGGCTGGCTGGCTGGCTGGCTGGCTGGCTGGGCTTTGTTGATTGTTGTCAGCAGGTTCAGGTGGAGGGTGCTCACAATTTGCCAGCGAAACCGCCACAATTCAGGATTCTCAAGGGAAAATGGTTTACACAAACGATATGTGGTAGAGGTCAGCAACCCCCCCTCCCCCCCCATTGTCATGGTCACAGCCGCTCCCCCCCTGTGGTCTGTGGTCCTGTGGTCGGGGTGTGGTTTGGGGTTGGTTTAGGGTTGAATTTAGGGGGTGGGTTTTGGGTTGGTTTAGGGTGGGTTGGGGTGGGGGGTTAGGGGTTGGTTTAACATTGGTTCAGGTTTTATTTAGGGATGATCTACGGTTTGGGTTGGTGTATATATATATATGTGATTATATGTGCATATGTACATACCTATGTTGTTTTTCTTTTGCGATGTACTTATGTACTTACTTATAGGCACTGCACAAGAGGTTTGAGGGTAGGCCCTGATTGCTTGCACTCATCGGGAGTGTGTGCGTGTGTGCATGTTTGTGACAGAGAATTCAGTCGGGCATCCATGTCCACTCATGTGTTTGTTCCTGATTATGCAATGGAGGGTGTGCTATATACCTACTATAGATATGCACACACATATGCACACATATATATATATATAGATTTGCTCTGCTGCTACGATGACTGGTTTAACAGGCTCGTGTGGATAGCAATTTGGTGTTCAGCATCTTGAATGCCCTGCCATGTGTCATACGGTGTTCAGTCAGCATACCTTGTCTTTTCAACGTGTCACCACAAGCCAGGCCAGAGGCTCGCACGTGGGGAGGCACTTGGCTGAAGAGTATCTGAACTTTTACTTGCGACCCAAGGCTCGGGCAATATGTTTGCCTTCGGCGCAACAGGCCCGGCCTGAGCATCGTGCGGGGTTTTGAAGCCGAGGCGACAGTCGCCATAACAGCTACGGTAGCAGCACGTGACGCCATGTGTGCAATGTGGAGTTGCTTGACCTGAGGGCAGTGATGAGTAGGTTGTGTAGAGGGTCAGGCTTTGCGAGGGCTGGCAAAGCATGTGTGGGTAGCACAAAGTTACCCCATCAAAGCTAATATTTGGGTCAGCTACTCGCTGTGAAGGTGGATCCGGCGGAACAAATAAGCACCTTGGCTGAAGGAAAGTGTTGCGCTGAGCGATACTCAATGAATGTTTGTCACATCATGGGTGGACTGGAATACAAGCTTCTAAGTCGACCATGTTGGAAGCAAGGGTGCTTATGGTGTACTGGCACAATTATCAAGATCTTTATAAATAGGCACTTCATCGACGCTGCCAACAACCTTGTCATGAAGCTGTTTGCTCGTGAGCGAGAGTCAGACATTGTTCGGTTGCCGAAAGCAATGGCACCTGACTCAAGGTTCTTGGAAAATGATTTTTGCGTTGGAAAGGCCTTTTTTCACGTTCCGTACATGTGAGGGAGCCATCCCAGAATTGTTGCTTCCTTACTTTGAGCCAGTCATTGCTGCATCCTTCCAGACACACGATATTCCAAGGAAAAAGCGAAGAGCTGATTGACCCCTGTCGCGATGACCTGCGCCAGAGTGATGGGCCAGGGCAAAGTCTTAGTGGAGAATGGTCGCCAATCATTCCAAGACGAGATGCCTTCCAGGATCCTTTTGAACGTGACCTGGAATATTAAACCAGCGGGCGTGGTGCAAAGGGCCGTGCAAACCGAGATTGCGACCAAGGCTCCAGCCAGTAGCTGTCAGATAGTGGCTGCATGGTGTTGACAGAAAACTGGCGGTGCTGTTGGCCATGTGAGCCTTGGGGACGACTTGAGGCCCTGAGTACAGCTCTTGTGCCTGAACATGTCACTAGCTAGCATGGCACGTTTGAACATGGAGCAGTCCGGAGCACTCACCGAGTATACTTATTTTCCCGCTTTGCCGTGTCGTGTGGAAGTACGAATGCGAGTTTGTGTTGCACGAGGCAAGATGTTCGTGAGGGCACGTCTAGATTAGATGTGTGACATGTAATCGCATAGACGTGCACTGTGCGCGACTGTCAGTGATGCATCCGCGCATGTGTAACAAGCTGGCTCAGATTGGGGACCAACTGGTCTGGGACCCCCTCAACATAGGATGCACAAGTGCTTGCACACTCGAGCCCGAACGCGTTACACCAGCATGCCGAGTGTGCGGACTGGCTTCGCCAGTGAAAGATATCGGTCGTTGGCCACGCCTTAGCACAACAAGCTCAACAAGGTGCAATGTGGATGTGGCTCACATCAATGTACCACAAAGGCACCTTGGTAAATGGAAAAGGGGTAAATTGAAACAATAATACATAAATGAGGTAAATTGTGTACCACAATAAATACCCCTAACTCAAACAATAGACCCCCACAATAACACAAACTTCTGTACCCCCCAACTCTTCAATTTGGAGCCACAGCCATGTGGTTTAACGGTTTGCCCCGTGCCGACGGTGAAAAACAACGCCCCAAGCACCAGAGCCACACATCCGTTCGTTACACGAACCCAGCCGCGCTGCGGTCTCAACAGCCCCATGCTGCTATGGCAGGCTGCGCGCGGGCAATTTCCACAGCATGCCATGGCGCAAACGTCCAGAATCCACCACCTCACTTCCAGTTGCTTAAGATGGTTTTAAAGGGAATCGAGCCCACTAGAATGTTGGGTTGGTTACCATAGACACAGAAAGCCACAAAACACTGTGCAGAATCCACGGGCTTCTTGGCGAGTTTGGAGTGTCGCCTTGTGGCCATGTCCTATTTGGGTCCAGGGCCTCCAGCTGGCGACAATTCAATGAGGCTACAGACAAAGCAGGTCAGAGAAGCCGTTTGGGACAACAAATACCTGGTTGATGATGTTTATGATTGTGCCAAGCAGTAGGTTTTTGAGGTTGTGCGATAGTTGCAAGTAGTTTCGGTGGGTTCGGTGAAGCGACTTTTAACTTTTAACTGTGAGTTTGAAAACCCCAGCTCTCGCGGTTTTACTTGGCTTGGCAGGTTCTCCTCTGCCTCCACTTGCGGATCTCTGGAGGCACAGATGGCCGAAGTCAGAGCCAACTTTGCGCTGCCCCAAAGCCTCAGGTTCCATGGGGAAAGTTGCCAGAAGGAAGTGCTCAGGTGTATGGGCTTGAAGGCATGCAGGGGCGCTTAACTAGATGGAGAGCTGAAGCTGAGATGTATCCTCACAGACACGCTTCCAAGAAGTGCGTCCATGTCTCACATGTCGCAAGCGTGGCCATTGCTAGGGAGAATAGTTACTCTCCCATACTCGAACATGAAAGCTGACACACGCTATTTTCCTCCACAAGTTGGATCCTTTGCAAGCTGAACAACACTTACCTCTTAAAAACACAACTTTTCAGCCTTTTTGGGTAACATGGGCTATATGTCTGTAAAAGATGAGAACTTCCCCAGGGCGCAGGGAGTTTTAAGGGGTAAGAACCGGTTTTTGCCCAGGATGGGCTGTTTTTGCCATGGCGACCTGAAGGTTTAAGCTTTGACCATCGCCTCAGAACAATGACACCTCCCCCTTGCTCCCTTGCTTCCGGCCAGGGATTGTCAGCGACCCCGTGGCAGTGGCCGGGACCTTAAATCACAGCAAGTCGACCTTCGAACTTGTTGGTGCTTTGTTCCTCATCTGGCTTGTGTGTAGCTTTTTGTCTTTAGTTTTGGTATCTGATCCATTTTAATGCTATCTCATCCATTTTAGTCCAATTCCTACCTAATCCTATCCATTTTGGTATCTATTCGATTTTCTGTCTTTAATCTTGGTATGTAATCCATTTTGATCCTACTTGGTGTTTTTTTTTTTCAGTCTACGTTGAAAGATGTTTGTTGTTTTCTTGTGGTCTTCCCCGTGTGGTGTCCTTTTTGGTCGCCTCTTGTTTGTCAAGGTTTCAACCCCGACCTTTGACTGGTGTGGCATATAAAACAAAGAAACTCTGCGCTTGGAAGGCTGTTCGTGGGAAGGGGAGTCTAATCCTGTATCAGGTTGGAAGGCTTGGGTTTACAGGCTTCATTCTACAAGGAGCGTATTGGATCATGCGGGGCCTTTTGGCTCAAGTATGATCCAAACTGGCTAAATTTTAACTGCTGGTTTTGCGTGTTCGGCAAGGGTTACTTGTCGAATGATTGCAGTTCCAGGAGTCGATTTGGCCGTCCACACGGATCGGCCGATTTTGTCTGCAGGCGCCTACATCGACTTCAAGCGCCATGTGGGCACTCTGCTGGAGCAGGGGAATCATGGCCAGGCCCGGCTGCTCTGGCTTTCGGCTGTGGAAATCTTGCATGCCCCCTTCACGCAGGAACCCATTCCCCTGGTTGCTAGTGGGGAGATACCCCACCTTCAATTTGCACCATGCACCGTTGACCAGTGTGCAAGATGTGACATGTCTCGGGGCGGCTTCAAGTTCCCGTTCATCGGAACCTGGTGTCGGCGTGCAGTCTTGGTTCAAGACGGTGCATCTGCAGAGGAGGCCTGGGCCGCCTATAATGGGTGCTATGAGGAGGATCGCCTGTCAGAGGCCATGGTGGCTGAAGCAGGCAGTGGCCTCCGCGCCCAGGACATCATCCCGATGTACGTCTCCGCCATCGCTGGGCGAGTGGAGTCGGGTGACCTTCCCTTCGTCTCCTTCCGGGGCTTCTTGGGGGCCTGGAGGCGATGGTGTTTGGGGTCTCGGAGGTGGACCGAGCCATGGCCCAGGGAGAGCGACTCCCTGGCCACAGCGGGGAGGCTTCTCCGTGGGTGGCTGGACGAAGGGAGGAGGAACCTCCCTTTGGGCGGGCTTTGCGCCTACTGCGGCAGCAGGGCTCACTCCGTTTGTGCGTCATGTGGTATCCACCGATGTGAAGCCTGCCCCATCCGCTGCTGCCAAGGCTCTACGCTGGGGGTTGCTGCTCGTAGCTATGGCGTTTCGCGGTGATGCCACGCCTGGGCGCTATGCCACTGAGGCCATGGAGCACTCCGGGGGCGACCCGGGCGGCTCTGGTGAAGGGCTCATGTCCCGAGTCCAGGAGGCCAACGTCCGTGCCTTTCGGCAAAAGCATGGGCTGATGCAGGACTCCGACTTCGGCTTCGCCTTCGAGGCCTTTGACGACGCTGTGCGCGTGGGGGGCCACTTCGTGGCCGCTGATTGGGCACGGGTGCGGGCGGAGCAGCAAGCCCACCTTCTCCCGGCAGCTGCGGCAGTGGTGGAGGTGGATCCCTGGCGAGTGACGCCGGTGGGGCCATCGACCCTCCGCCGGCCAGCGGTGCGGCTCCCAACGAGCAATGTGGGCCTGCGTTTGAGGCAGAACCCAGACAACGCTGAGGCGGTCGGCCGCAGGGTCAACTTGCTGACAGAGGCCTTCATGAAGCTGGGTGTCCTCCGGCCTCGGCGGCATGACGACCCGAGGCGCTACGCGGACTGGCAGCAGGCAGTTCGAAGGCTGGCTCAGGAGCGAGTCACCCAGTCTGAGGCGACCACGATCCTGAACGCCGTGAGGACGTTCCAGGAGCTCTCGCTCTTTCTTGCGGCCAGGGATGTGCAGGACCCAGAGGAGTTGGACTTCCACGCCTTCCTTGAGCAGGCCATGTCGCCCTCGAGAGCTCTGCAATCCTTGCGCTGGTTGTCCAACAACGGCAGGCTGCAGTGGCAGTTGGACCGCCTGAAGCCCCCCAAGGTCATTGGGAAGGTGCGCAAGGCGAGGTCCCAAGCGGTGGTGGTGGAACCACCCATGTTGCTCACCCTGGAGGGCAAGATCATCGAGATGCAGCAAGCCCGTGATCCTGCCTGGACCGCATCTTTGGCGTCTTGGCTTGTGGCGGCGGGATGCCTGCGCTACAAGCACCTGAGCCTCTCCAGCCCGGTGAAGATCAGCAGGGAGTTCTTCCATGGCCACTGCCACAAAGGGAAGCAGGCCCACAACCGGCAGGGATTCGACTGGAGTGCACCAGCCCGTTTCTCTAACGGTTGGCACTGGGCCGACAAGTGGCTGGAAGAATACCAGGGGCTGGCGCCGGAGAAGCACGACAAGTGCGGCATCTGCTTCCATCCGGTCTCTGGCCAGGCTTGGCCCATTCGGGAGGTGCAGAGAGTTACTCAGCACATCTTCCACGGCGTGGTGGAGCCCCTCGAGCAGCTCACCAGCTACTCCTGAAGGCGCTTGCTGCCGACGGTAGGGTCCTTGATTCGTCTTCAGGACTCCGAGATCGTGGCCCTGGGGGACTGGCAGGACAAGGTGGAGGAGCGAGTTTCGATGCCGTTCCACTACAGCGGTGGCAAGTACGCCCTTTCCATGAGGACGAAGATGAGAGCTTTCTTCGTGGCCGCAAAGGTCGCGGACTGCGAGGCCTGGGAGACGGTCACGGAGGAGGAGATTTCCGAGGCCGATGGAGAGGCCAAGATCAAGGCCGCCCAAGCGTGCCGGGGCGACACAGAGGTGATCTGGGCCCAGGCGCCGCAGACCACGGCACTCAAGAGGCGCTTCTCCCTGAGCCAGTCCCTCGTGCACAACGCCCGCGAGCGGATGCGGAGGCCGGCACCCTCGGTCAGTGCCATGCCAGCCCGGCTGGGTGAGACCTTCCTCACAGGGCACTTGAAGAATGGCACAGCGCTGTGCCCGGACTTCAACACGGGGGAGTGC